TTCATTTTTATAAAACTATAAATATATAGGAGATATACGTAGGAGATAATCTTATATCACCTATATAAGATTGCGCGGACGATATAATTGCTCACTCGTCATAATAGGACAACGAACTGAAGTTCTCCACTAACTTCAGTCGAGTTTTGTTTGCTATCTAAACCGGAAATATATTGAGTAAACTTGCTGTTTATGCTTTTTCTTCAAAGTTTAATAAGGTTGTATATTGTTTCATAAAGACAAAATAGAAAGAAAATCAGATCGTCTGATATGTTACGAGGAGACTATGAAGGAGGCTCGCAGGCGAAAATTTAATGGCGAAAGCAAGAGGTCCGTGGCTTTACCATTTGGATTGGCAAAGTCAACTTTATACATATTTCGTTTACAACAGCTAAAATGTGCAACAAAATTAGGTACATTTGATACGCATTTTTAATCGAAGACGAAAAAGATTTCTACAGTTATCTGCACACTTTAGATGAAATGTTTTATGGATTAACAGCAAAAGGAGATTTGATGGCATGAAAATTGCTTTTATATGTGTGTCATATGCAAATAGCATAGTCGCGCAATCTTATCGACTGCAACGCGCAATCTTACACACTAAGGTGTATAAAATTGCGGAAATACAAATCTATGATTTCTCTTTAATTGCTCAGAAGTTTATATATCTAATGTTTAAATAAGTATGTCAGTTTGTAACCTATATAATAAGGATAAATAATTGATATCGCATAGAATTTGAATTTTACAATTTATGAACCTTTGAATTGAAACTCGCAACCTTATACCACCCTACTGTTCGGAATTTTCGGAATTTCGTGTACAAACAGAATAAGGTAAGGTGTCATGTTAATTCGCACGAATCATAAATGATGGAACGGTAGATGGAACACAAATTAAGTTTACCATGACACCCTGCTAATCAGGACGGTAGCTCAGTCTACCATGGGCAATAAATCTCCAAAACCAGAAGATTCAATTACACGGCTACCGGAAGACACGAATAGTGGCATTAACAAATTGTCCAAGATAAATAAAACCTTTTAATGCGGCAATGGGGTCCGAAACCGTTGCCTTTATCGAAGCGGCGTTTTCCAAATTTATCGAACAGTTAATGTATCGTTCCAGAATTAATTGGACCTCTTGAGTGAAAGCTATGCCGCACTTAAATTATAACGCTCAAAACACTTAAAAGCGAGAGATTTAGGCCGATAATGCATCGGTACAAGGAACCTCCCTATCTGATCTCGGAGCATCTGATAAAGGAATGATCAATGGTGAGAACAACATAATATTAGAGACAATTCTGTATCTTAACCATATAAGGAATAGAGACTACTTTTTACTAAAAAATACAGTATCAACTTTTAATAATTTGTAGAGAAATGGGAACTTTAATATGCATATCCAATGATCATTATCAAATTAATTTTTGTAATCGATAAATTTATCGATCCTAAGCCAAAACGACCTTACTTTCTGATAAATTTATTGAGATTCAGGTATTACCACAATAGATGATATCACTTAATAAGTTATACATAAGTTGTGCTTTGATTAAAGACGTACGTAAATGCTAAGTACCTATGTAGGCAATAAAAGGTACACTACATAGTCCAATCTTAAATGACTCAGTATTAATATGTACGTAATTCATTAACTAATATTCGCCTAGTCGAAACCATATTATTTAACACGGTTGCAAATACTAGGTTTTCTTCAAAACTTTTCCACTTGCATTTAGATTTTTTGTTTCCTGTTCTAATTAATATTATTCGGTTTTGGCTGATCTTCACTGTTCGTTAATAGTTATGCGTTTAAAATGAAATAATCCTTGTCCACAGCAAATAAATCAACTCGAGGACTACACAGAATCAGTCAAATGAGCAACACTGTTATAAATTAATTTTCTTCTATGAGCAGTGAATTATAAGAAAGTTGTAGCTAAGTGTGGCTAGGCATCTGCATCTCCCAATAGTTAATCGCACCAGATCTCAAATTGAACTCATACTAGCAGCACGATTAATAAAACATATGGCGAGCTAAACAAAGTCAACTTTCATCTCCGAGTCGAATTCTTCCTTATCGATTGGCGGCATCTAACTATGCATGCCAACACGACGTCGCTCGCCACTATAACGAACGCAATCTCAGTATTTTGCACGTACATACTGCTACTATATAAAAATATAAGAACACTTATCTGGATTACTTAAGGTTGAAATTTATACGAAATTTCAAAGATAGCATTACATGGAGTCCATATTTGGTAACAGATTGTTGTTTAGGAAGAGACATGACATTGGCACTGTTGAAGCGTGGTAATATTTGTGATGTCTATTGTCGAATGAAACATTTATTTCGGAAAATATTTCACCGGCAACAATATAAATATAATTAGGTATATGGTTAAGATAAACAATCTATATATCATATGACTATGTAATTTTTCCAAAAGCACACAAATTTTTTGTCTGAAACGTTATCAAAATAACGCTAAGGAATAATTGTCTTAAGTAGATTATCATAATTCTCTATTACATATTGTAAAATTTACACGGACAAGTAGTAATTATTGGTACATAGTTTATTTTTGAAATTACATTATTTGAAAATCTAATCTGGACACATCATTATCAACTCAGTTCTATTTATAAGACAGTACTACTCATACAGATACAAAATATAGTCGTTCATTTATTTATCGAATGTTCGCGAATCAACACCTGATTGAATAAGTCGGTATTTATCACCTGTTATCTATTATCACGACCATTTCAATCAATAATTTCTAGGCCACGTTCTAAAACAAAGAAAATAAAATATTAAGGTTCACAGGATATGCACACTGACTTATTATATAATGGGAATTATTATTACATAACTGTATGTACACATGGCTGCATGTCAAGTTACCACAATATCTCAAATTTTTCCAGTCGACTTTAAGCTCTACCGTCAAACTATTAAGGTGTAAAAATATCTGAAGAAATTTGAGAGTTTCGGTAAGCCTAACGTGCTGTTGACTGTAGCTACCACAAAACCTGTTCTAGTTTAAAAAAAACCCAAAGACTAAGTAGATCAATATACCATTGTGAATGCAAAATTAGTAAAATGCATATAATAACGAATCTATTTTTAAAATTGTATATTTTCGTAGAGAATTGAAACTAATCTACATTAGGTATAACTTACATTATGTTTTTATATGGATTCATCTACATATTTTTGTATACGTTGTCTTAATTAAGAAATAACTGGAGTACCTCCATTCGTCACTACCCACGCACAGTATCTTTGGAAATTTAGAAATTCAAACCCTATGTATTTACATAGACAAGGAATGGTACTAGACAGTCTCGGTCTCTCGTTTATGATATAATATTCTAATTTATATCAACGCCTTGTTGCTGCTCACAGACATACATGTTTGCTCATCGTTTGCGATAATAGTAGAATTAGGAGGCAAGAGAGAAAACGTGTTTAAATTTCTAGAAAATAGAATCAACTAAGGTGTTTTAATAAAAAAAAAATTAATTAAATTTGGTTTTGTTACTTTCTTCTTTTCTATTGTGAACTGTCTATATTAAAAAGGCACGGATTTTATGTTTGGTACTTACGTGGTGTCACCGCTGGCCTCAGCAGAATACCAGTGCAGTAGGCTCTGCTTACTGCTTGTACTGAACTGAATCCAGCATTGAAAACGCACACCGTGGCACAGTATATTTGTTGGTCTTCGTTTTCATGTCTATCGTAATTGGATACTGTGCACGTGATGTGTGTTGTCAAAAAAATAATTAATTAATATTCCATTTTATCCCATTCCATCGCATTCTATCCCATCTATTAAATTCTATTCCATTATATCCCATGGTAACCTATTCTATTCCATTTTATTCCTTTTCTAAATTTTACACTTTGTAACCCTCCAATCCGCATTGGGCCAGCGTGGAGGGTCATGGCCCATCCTCCTTAACCATCCATAAGGAAGGCCTGAGCCCCTGCAGTGAAGACGTAAAAGGGCTGGTGATGATGATGACACTTTGTCCACATGTGATTTCCGCTACTATAGACATTATATTATATTCATATATCGCGTATAGTTGGCATCAGCATCGGCCTGCATTGTAATAAACATTTACCTAATCATAACTTGTTGGTCAAACTTGGCTACTAGCTGATTGGAAAGTGTTACAATTCCTAGATAACTTTTAAATCGTCTTATTATTTAACAGACTTCAAACGACGGATATGTTCATCGATTTCTCCTCGCTTTTCTGACATTTTTTTTTAAATCGGAAGTCTCTGAGCCCGATGTGGTCTCATATAAATTTTATCAAAACCAGATAAGTAGTTTTATATTTTTGTACGTTAAACAAAAATGGTTAATAAACATCTTTCTTTATAAGAAAACAACACAGCGTGTCCTGCCCAATAAGAAAAAACTTGAAACGAAATATTTATATTCATTCGTAAAAATAATTCACTACGTTTTGTTTTCAAATGTAAGCAAGCAATATTTATTGTCTAATATCACATAAGTCATAATTTATTTCTATGGTTTCATACCTTATATAATATAGTATAATCATATGATGTTATACACGTTATCTTAATTTATAATATTTTTAGTATTGATAGAAAATGTAAAAAGCAACACTTTTGTAACATCTCACTTTTGATTACATTAAAGAATTTGAGTTGTTTGTACCTAACGGTCTTCAATTAGTAACTGACTACAGTGTAGCTAACTGTATGATAAGACGCAAACGGGTCCATTCCAACTGTCTTGTTGTGTTTCGCCAACAATAATAATATCTTTAATGCCGGCGGATCGTCATTTGTATTTATCTTTGTAATGTGATGATAAAACTATTGGAGCACTAGCTCATTTCACATAACTATACCTTGTTTCTTTATATTTTCCATACGAAACGTCAAAATAATTTACAGACCCACGATATCTAATGTGTGGAAAGATAATAGCGATTTCAGTTCAGATTAGTTCGCGTGTGTGAGGAAGACGTGTGTTCTGTGTACTTGTGTTTTTATACAAGTGTTTAACGTCATGTTACTGGTGCTATTGGGTTTTGCACTTTTAATATCATGTGGTAAGTTTCAAAATTGAATGTTATATTTCTCAATAACTCTGACGTCTAAAACAACTGTTTATAAATAACCTATATAGCAAAAGCTATAAAAGATCATTCTCTGTAAACGCTTATTATTCTTGAAGCTTGAAAGGAATGAATGAGTGTGCTGATATAAATGTCATGAAAAAATCCATTCACCATCTGACTTAGATTATCACGAAATATCGGGAACTGTAACATAGCTGTAAATAGATATTTGTTCCTTCATAATCATCATCATCCAATCAGTAGTTCGACGCCCACTCTTTCATTCCATTCTTTCGTTAGTTAAAACAAATTATTAGTACCAAAAAACCAATCTAAGTATATAAAAAACATTTTCAAAATAAATTTCAAATCTTTGTGAAAAAGACCGTCAGCTTCGGAAGCCACGGATGTTGTAGTAGCTCGTTCCTAATTTATTTTCAATGTGTACATACAAAGGGTTACGTCACGGCCGCGTTTAATTCAATTGTCCCATGAATGAGACCGGTGCGCCCGCGCACGCGCCACAATAGCATAACGACTCATCTCGAATCTAAGCTAGTCCGCAGTTAGGGTGGGCACAAACATGTGCACATTAAGATAAAACTTTTTTTTCTCACCGATGTACCTACGTAGGCTAAACTTCGAACCGGGAATATGGTCGACCAATCAAAATGTTTCCAGTAGTGCGCCAACAGACGATCCGTGTACCTAAGACAGTTATATAATTCGTTGTACATATTATGTATTGAAACAATACTGATTATAAATTGTAATCGAATATGATCGGTCAACGTCGGAATTGGTAGATCTGCTCTACGCAAGCGATGATTCGATATATATCGCTATATATATTAAACATAAGTGAAATCTCAAACCTCATTTAAAAACGTTACACAATGAAGCTTTTGCTTGCACTGTATCGATAGTTAAGCTCGAAGTAAAACAAAGATTCGCAACATTATTTAAATGTTTAGTTTTTGTTTTTTCTTAATTCATTGTATGTTATTATATTTATTTATTTCAATAACCACCAAGGTTTTTTTAATTTACCTATGATTGACTTTTCTTTTTTTGATTTAGGGTCTTCAAAACATTTTGATACAAATAAAAGTAACATTAAATCATAGAAGATCGTAGAAGTTGAATCTAAATTTACAACATCTTAAAATATATCATCATGCTGCTACAATAATCCAAAAAAAAAAATCTACCTTTTTTGAAATTAAAACTTTATTACCTCATGAAGTAGGTTTTATTTGATTGGACCTTTATACTCGACAGCGGTGTGCTCTACATCAAGTTTAAGACTGTTTTTAAAACAGTATCACTACTGATACTTTTGGACACCCCTGTACAGAATAAATATTTATTTATTCTTCTGTTGACAATCATATTTACATTGTCAATGCACCTGGGATTGTCACGACAAAATGCGCGTGGGCCGAGGATTTCGTGTTGATCATCACTCGTTATGAATTTAGGTCGGCAGATAAAACCTCATGATAATAAGTGTTACAAAACATAACTTGCTGTGTTTTCTAGCGGTCATTATCAGAAAGGTAGATAAATGTTGAAAATTTAGTTCTATTTACTTGTGGTTAATGTAAAGTCTAAAGAATAGGAATTACTGTGTTGAGAATTTAAAGTTAAGCACGTCTCAAACCGTACTAAAACCATCTTAAACGTCACTTGAAAAGGTTTTCATTTATGATTTTCATTTTTTAATGATCAGTTGATAGCAATTTCATAAAACTCGGACTTTTTGCCATGTGAAACGTAAAAAACTTAAAGTTATTGTGAATACCTAAACAGTTGAGATTTTGTACTTTTCTAAATTCAGAAACCGGCCGTTGTATAATGTAAATATTAAAATAAAAATACAAATATTTTATTTTGATTAAATTTCAAAATAAGACGACAGTAGAAACTAAGCACAAAGACAGCGACATCCTAGCAAAACAAAATAAAAACGAGAACAAAAACTTCACGAAGGTTCAATAACAAATAATTTTGTAAACTTTCAATTGTTATTCTATCAGTTTCGATAGAACAGTTGAGCCATAATTCTAAGAAATATTATAAAAGCGTATGCAACAATTTCATGGTCCGCTGCCGTGAAACACAATCTTGCGTTACGTAAATATTAAACTGCGTAGAGCACTACTTAGTGACTGGCGTAACACAAAAATTCGACCACTAAAGAGTCAAGTACTTGTTACAAATATCATGTGAATACCTCTTGAAGAATCATATAAAACCGAAACCACATACCATATAAATGCCATAGTACCTTTGATAAAAAATAAACACCATGTTGAAAAATATACCAAAGGACTACATTGCTTTCCAAAATATTTGGTACTTACAATAACAATAAAAAAATATGAAGAATTCTATCTTCTGAAGTTTAATGTATGCTAATATTATAAAGCTGAAGAGTTTGTTTGAACGCGCGAATCTCAGGAACCACTGGTTCGAATTGAAAAATTATATTTGTGTTGAATAGACCATTTATCGAGGAAGGCTTTAGGCTATATAACATCACGCTGCAACTATTAGAAGCGAAGAAATAATGGAAAACGCGAACGAAGTCGCTGGCGGCCACTAGTTAAATGATATAAAGATGTGGTGTTTGGCGAAAAATGTTGGGGGTGTCTTGGACAGAACATCGGGCCAATACTGAAATTTTCAAAGACATCAAAGTAACCACCACACTCTCCATCATATGTCTACGGAAAATCTTAGAATTCTTCAGACACATTACCAGGAAGACCGGGGACAATTTGGAAAAAAAATGGTGTCTGGCTCTGTGGACGAGAAGAGACAGACCAAGTCCGCAAAACATTGTCCATTCAGATCCATGATGCCATGGAACCGGACGAAGTCGTATTAACTGGAAGGCCATAATCAGGAACAAAGTGATCCGTGGAGGAGGTCACGACCCTCAGCACTGAGGATACAGAGGCACAAAAAAGGATAAAGACATACCGAGTTTAAGCATTAGAGTCAAAGTTTATATTCCACACAAACAATCATATTGGGAAGTTTTATGAGTCATTTTCAACTATTACATATTAGCTATTATAACGTCACAAAAGTTTGAAATATTAATAGCTACTTAAGTGCGAAGGTATACATAAATATTCAGGACAACATTTGCAACTGTGTTACTGTCAACAACATTTTATTAGTAATAACCACTCTGTTACATACAAAAAGTAGGTAATTTTTTTATCCATCTTTTTTGTATTGATACTTAAATTATATAAGCTATAACAACCATCTATCTTCTTCAAGGAACACTTTAACCTGCACTTTGAGTTTTTCAATGTACGTTCCTTATTACGTAGGTAATCAATAGCACCGTCCCGCCTCAACTACTGCGATCGAATCGCTCGAATTAATAGCTCATGAACCTGCTACTTATAATTAACATCCTGTTTTCCATTAATCGTTTATAAACTTTACAAACGAGATGATACTCTGCGCTTTGTAGGTAGTTTTAAGAACCAACTTATTACTTTAAATGTATTTTACCTTAACTAATTAAATTGAATGTGCTATTAAACTCGAAAGTGAAAACAAACTTGATACAACGTAGTGTTCACAGCGTTATGGGTAAAATTATTAAACTGCCTTCATAAATAGCACTCACTGTATTACGCTGCCGTAGACAGAGAAATGGAATATAATATTTATTTGAGGATTTCTTAATGGAATGAAAACTAATTTAATTTAATAGTTTCCTTTATGCTATGAAGCTGAAAGTAGGGTAGATAGAAACAACAACTCAGGCAGATCTCTAAAAATCATGTAAAAAAAAAAATCAAAATGTTGGTCTTCGCAATCCATTAAAACTCATATTTAACCCATCAAATATGAAATTTACTGGGGAATTCGACATTTTCAAATACAGTGATATATGCTCTTGACTCTACATCAGTGGCGGACCCCTCCCTCTCTCCCTTAGGCCGCCACTACTTTAACTCCAAACAAAGGTGCATAAAATTGAAAAACCACAAACTAACCAACATCTACTCTGATGTAACATGATCAACGAATAATATCGATCGAGTCTTCTTGTAATCAGCAAAAAGACATCCTGAACGGTAGGTAAAAAAGTGTTTCACGAGTCAAAAGTTTTAAATAAAAATAATTTTGAATTCAACCTTCATAAAATACATCCAATTTAAAAAAAAAGCCAAACTATACGCCTTCAGTAACTGAGATTACCAAGATATACCGCGACATTACGAACTTTTCTCATTGTAAAACCTTAAACTGAATTATTCCGGAACCGGAAGAGATTTCTTATCCATTGGGATGAATAGGGAGCGGAAAGTGTTCGGCGATATATTGTAAGGACCGGCAAAAAAAATATCATTCGCAGGAAATCACTCACGCAACCTTGTGTGGAAAATTGGAGCCCCATACCTAACCTAGGATTCAAAAGACCATTCTTGAGTCATAAAATTATGCTTTGATCATAAACTATCAAAAACTTAAAAAGATTATTTATAACAATTTGTCAAAGTTATTTACGCGAAGATATTTTATCTTTCACGGCGGGCTTTTCTGCAACTCGACACTCGGTGCCTATTCTTGCGTGATACGGGGTTACATCAGTCCTGCCACCCCATCTCCTCCAGGCAGCCCATAAGTTCTCGAACTTTACCGTATGCCTTCACTAGAGTCCTTCGGCTACCTAAATGTGTAGTCCTTTACGATCCTTAGAGCCGTTCATAAAGAGACAAATGAAAGCTCCGCATTTACCTGTCATAACATATTATAGTGACATACAGAAATAAGTACACATATAAGAAAAAGTTTATCATAAAAAGTCCTTTTTAAACCTTTTTTTTTTAATGAGGAAGTATTAAAAAAAAAGAAACCACTAATAAAGTACCTCCACTAGATAGCGGCTCTATCAAAAATTCATTTTTGCAGGAAACATATGGGCCAAAGATACTAATTTCCGTTCATTTTGACTAACATATTAAAAACTGAAATTTGAAAAGTTAGATACTTAGATATTAATACAAAAACGAAAAAGTACAAATAGAATATGCGTTGTATAATGAGTTTTGAAAACTAATTTACTTTTATACACGAAAGAAAACCGGAAGGGTTGTCATGGATAAATCAATAAAGTACCGTAGCGACATCTAGTTTGATTTCGTGAACTGATGTTTTTTTTAATATTTCCTCATTAAATCGTTCGTTGTAGCATCAGCATTGAAAATTAACAATTTTGAACAACCTGACTCACTACTTATAGTTTTTAATAAATATAATATATGCATGACCTTTGACGTTACGACTATGACCTAAAAAGAAATTAAACTAACCTATTTTCTATTAAAATAAATACCTACATGAAAATAATAGATCATAACAACCAATCAAAATAAACAAAACTTTTAAAATAAAAGGAGCAATTGTGTACGACTGGGACTGGTAACACTGTGCTAATGTCAAATTTAACGGCGCACTCCGCATATGAAATAGTTTCGGCAAACAAAAGCATGCTGATATTTGTTCAAGAATATTGTTTTTTATATATTTTTTGTTCGATTTTTTATTGAAAATGCATGATTAAAAAAGAGAAATATATAATATTTAGTATAATATTTATATAATATTTATACCTAAATAAAATATTTAGTCTTCTCATTTAGCAGTGACCTAGTGTGTCTTGGAGGAGCCTTGAATTAAAAAAAAAATTGTTTAAACTGCACACGTTAAGGGCGTCTGTTGCCCAAGAGCCCCAAATCCATACTTATAATAAATCTGTCAATTCTGTTCATGAAATATATTTCCAAAATAACTATCAGGGGGTGATTAAGGATCGATACTGATGCCAAAAATGCAATCAGTAAAATTTTTGTCTGTCTGTCTGTATAACCGTTATAGAAACAAAAACTACTCGACGGATTTTAACGAAACTTGGTACAATTATTTTTCATACTCCTGAGCTGGTTATAGTATACTTTTCATCACGCTACAATCAATAGGAGCAGAGCAGTGAAGGGAAATGTTGGGAAAACGGGAGAAGTTACTCCATTTTTTAAGCTTCCGTCGCGTGTGCAACCTTAATGGTTAAAGCTACCCAGAAATCATGTATGACGGAAATGTTCTCCTTAAAATTATATAAAAAATATCCCACGTCAGCATATGTCTATCTTTTATGGTTGACTCACAATAACACGTGTAACTCCCGATAGCTTAGCAGTTCGAAGCTTTCTGATTGTATTTATCTATTGTCTACTCTTACGTTTATAACACTCTCAGTCATCCCTAATTAAAAAAGTTAACAGTATTAAATATTCCATAAAAAAGAATCATAGAACTCGGTATAGAAACACCAAAGTTATACATGAAATATGCTAATAATAAGCCATCGCGGGTGAATACTGAAACATGCTAGAAGGATTGTTCTGGCCAGTATTTCATCTATACTAATATTATAAAGCTGAAGAGTTTGTTTGTTTGAACGCGCTAATCTCAGGAACTACTGGTACGAATTGAAAAATTATTTTTGTGTTGAATAGACCATTTATTGAGGAAGGCTTTAGGCTATAAAACATCACGCTGCAAGTATTGGGAGCGAAGAAAAAATGGAAAACGCGGACGAAGTCGCTGGCGGCCACTAGTCATTAACACGAAGGTAACTATGCCACTATTCTTCAAAGCCTTTTCTTGTTTCTTGAATCCCGCCCTATAGTGCTATCTATAGATTCCTCTAAAATAACCAAAATATAACAAGGATTTACCGTCTCCCAGAGCTGTGACGGATTCGCAAAAAAGGAATATAATAAAAAGAGTTAGTATGATTATCTAAATATATAATTAAAATTGTTAAATAGAACAAATACATACCCTGTACCACAAATACATAGTTTCTGGGTTTATCTATTAAGGATAAAAATAAGTAGCTATTCCACGAAAATATACGTTTACATGTTTCTTATTTAAATTATAATAACTTTATTATATAAATTTATTTGATTAAATGTTCATGTTCTCACCAGATGATTTCATAAATTCATAAAGAGCATATTGGATTACTCAAAATTCCAACTTACGAAAGGTGAATAATAAATAGAAATGATGTTGAAGATCAAAGCCAAAAAGTTTACATGCCACAGGACGAAATAAACGGTGGTACGGCGCACTGTTATGGAGCTTCAATGAAGAAAAACCTTTATTGCCATTTTAAGTAGATTTTAATGAAGATACTATTAAAGCGCCGTGGTCGACGTGGACTTCAACTTTTTTTCACTGCAGTACAATGAATAAGTAAGAAACACGTACCTTTGTTATTCGCTTAATTTGCAAATTTTATGACAAGAAATAAAACTACTCAACAATACAGCTAACCGAAGAAATATATATATATATAATATATATATATATATATATATATATATATATATATATATATATATATATATATATATATAAAAATATTAAGCCAGTAAGCTTACAAGTGGAACCGACACTTCGCACTTTCTGTCCATCGATAATAATAAGTAAATAACTTTCTCGAGAGATTTACATTTCTCTGCCAATCAAAATGATAATTGCGAAAGAGCTTAAATAATCTTTTTTACTATATTTTAAACCGCTTAATTCATGAACACTGGTAGCAAAAGTCAACGGCATCATAGCCTACGTACCCTGTCCATGAAGTGTTAAATAAAAATAATGACTACATATAAATTTAGAATACACACGGATCATAATTAATTAAGTTCCTCAAAAATTATGTGCGAGACACATAAAGTTAGATTTCAAAATTGTGTCTTAAATATTTACAATAAGTAAGTACATTTGAGTAGGCATCTGCATAAATTATGAACCAGTTATGATCGTAGCAATTACGTATATGATGTACTTGTGACATGACTAGCGAACTACTCGACTAACGAGCTACAAGATACGTTGCCCAATTACTTGTAATTTAAGGTTTGTTTGATTATGAAGTAACTTATGTGGCATCAAGTTATAAATATTGCCAACACTTCGAACTGCAATTATAGGTATCTACGTCCGATGAAAGTGGCATGCCAGATAAAACAAAATTAATATTCATTGAGCAGTATACATTGTAAAATTTTAATCCTATTATGCTTCAAAGATATTTAAACTAAATTAGAGATTTACTACATTTTAGTGTGGCTCTGCAGAGCTCTCGTCTTTTTTGTATTGATTTATAAGTCAAGAACGGTTGATAATTTCAATTCCCATGATTTCTTTATTCTTTGATTTGTTGGATTCATCTACACCTGTAATAGCAGCATTAGCTGCAGGTATTGAAATATTCGCACAATTTTATATTCAGCCCTTGCAACTGTCCCTCAAGCTGTCGATGCTGACAATATATAAAAAAATGCCTTTAATAAGTTACTTAACATACCTAAACCGTTACATTGAACAAAACCAATAAAAATATTTGCTTTTGTAATAATGTTTTATTTTTCATAAAACGTCAGATTTATGAGTCATTCATGAAAATTAGTTAAAAAACGTGGTTTTTTTGACATTGTCAATCGCGAATGACTTGCCATTAATTAAAAGAAGAAGAAGAAAACTATTAGGCTATCCGAAATCAATAAAAAAATAGAATAGAATAGAATAGGCTATCCGAAAAACTTTATTCTATATTTTGTGCTCAAATAAATTTATCTCTACTCCAGTAAGGGGTTATTTTTTATTTTCACTCCCGAGAAGGGATGGCATTCACCCGCAGGGAATAAGCGCATATCGACACTAAGTCTATTATTTGTATCATTTTAGAGCTTCTGTCCAAATTTTTCGATGCAGTTTTATAGAAAATATGAATTACTTGAATGACTGGAACAATAAGCTTTTATATTTTTGTGTGTTAGAAATTGAATTGAATATAAGCTTTACCTACTCTATGTCAAACAAAGAAAAACCATGATCCATCCATGGCTTAATACCACCTTTGGCAGAATGTAGATCGCGAGATAAGCTAGTAATACCTACCACAATCTGTGATAATTCTAGGTAAATATTTTGTTTTGTTAATTTTTAATTCCAGTATCACCAGAGAGCTGTTTCTACCAGCGTTGTTTGGGCTGCCAACCGGAGCAATCGTCCGGACCTGGATTCAGAGTGGAATGCCATCCATCCAACTGGGTGACTGCCCAGTGGGTGCATAACATCGGCCATCCACCACCATCCACGGATAGCTGGATCCAACTCGAGTATAGTTGTTTGAAGTTGGTCGCAACTCCCGATGATAAAACTTGTAAGTTGAAAGCCCTAAGATATTATTCTCATGACCTAAACGATTTAAAAAAATACATACAAGGAAAATAATTCCGCTATTAATAATGCTCTAAAGCAAGCTTTCCCAACCTTTGTTTAGGGCTCCGTGGACTAGTAATAATATTTGCCCACCTTCATATTTCCAATAAATATAAAAAACATCAAATATATATTGATCAATTACCGCAAAATTTGTTGAGAGTTTCAAGTTCCTAATAAACGTTTGAGAAATAACCCTTATCTACCCCGGATACACACGAACTACTGGCAAAATATTGTGGAGGTGTATTATAAAGATTGTGGAGGATATACAGGATGGAGGATTCTTATCTTACTGTTTTAGTATTTCTGGACTTTTCTTACGCATTTAATACAGTTGACTGTGACATCCTACTTGCTCCTCTCTCCCAGCTAGGGTGCTCATCCCCTTGCTTGCCTTGTTTTCTTCCTTGAATATTAATTATGTCAGAATGCTAATTCACTATCATTGTCACTGCCTTACAAATTTACTGTTAATCCTCACAGGTTGACTGGTAGAGAATTCCTCCGGCATTAAGTCCGCCATTTGCTATAAGTTGGCAATAAAGATAAAATAAATAAATAAAATATATTTCGCTCAAATATGTTACACTCCAAGACCGAAAGCACCTATTGTGCGAAAAAATAGCTCACAACGCGATTTAGTCATAGTAAAACATCCACATGGTCTTATGGCTCTAATATTTTTTTTTACATAAAAGCAAGTCTAAAAAAAAATCTGTCTTGTCGTTTCAGTTGGAAATACAGTGGACGTCGTTCGAGGTTGCATACCCAAAGTTCAAGTGGACTCAGTCTGTCTCGGTCTTGTTGCAGTAGAAAGAGCGAGAGGCCATAGTGACGCACGGTGTTATGTGTGCAGAGGCAACGATTGCAATTCTGCTGCGCAAACACAACTTAAGATGTATTTACCTATCGCTTTAATTATAGTTAATTTCGTATTTAGATGATAAACAGAAAAAAGCACATTATTTAATGACTGATTTTATATGAATTAAATAATAAGATATGTGTGATTAAAAATAAAATAAAACGCTTACTAATATATCAGTGCGGTGTTTTATTTTTGTAAATTGTTTGTTGTACTCTTTCACGAAAAATATTATTTAAAAGTTACTAATACGTTGAAGTAATAAGTACAATTACAAGTAAGTAATTTGTATCATCATAGTAAAGTAACGGAATTAAGCGATTACAATGAACTCACCATAACACTTTGACTTACGTATGGTAGTTAAGCCATTGAAATATGAATTTTATATCTCATAGGTTAAAGATCTCTCAAACATGTATATGACTTACAAAAAATGACGCAAGTTCTAAAATGAAACGTTGAAAAATCGTTAAATTATATGACACAGGCAGCTCATATTTCATTGGTTTATCAAGATACTAGCTTTCGCCAGCGGCTTCGCCAGCGTGGTCCCTAGGGAAATGTTTAGTGGGATAAAAAGTATCCTATAAAAAGTATTATCAAAGTATATGTATACCAAATTTCATCAAAATCCGTTCGGTAGTTTCGGCGTGATTGACTGACAAACATTCGATGGATGGATTGATCGAGGCTACCAAAGAAATATATTTCGTATATAAAAAGTTATATAATAATACTCCAGGCCATAATTTAAGGTCCATGTTTGTAAGATCCAAACCTCAGATACATTGAAAAATCTAATATAACAAAAAAGATTCACTCAAAGTAATGATAATACTAAAAGAATAGCGTAAGCCCATGTTTTATTTTTAAACTAGCTAAAAAAACAGTTTGTCAGATATATTTAATTAAAAGTGACACTGAGTGATGAATATATTATAGACTAGAAAAAAATAAAGTTTCAATTGTTACCACAAAAAAAAATCTATAGTCACGTGATATGGAACGGCCTTTCAAAATACAATATTTTCGTTAAATTAAAAACTATCCACATTTGATTGAGTCCTTATATATTAAAAAGCAACATTGATTGTTTTTTTAATCTTTACAAATATCCATTAACATTACATTTGAATTGATAACATTATTCATATAAAAGTAAAAAAGAAACATTAAAGTTACACTTAAGTATTATAATGGACTATAACTAAAAGGACGGTATTACATAAAAACAATTTAATCAGTCGCATATCAGATTCTAAGAAAAAGTATATAATTAGATTGATTATTTCTCACAATGTCATATTTTTATTACTCCAACAACAAAACGTATATCGAACACCAATATAATAGGGATGACGACTAACTTTTGTGTGTTTGTCCGTCAGGTAGATTATTAAAGAACATTAAATACTTATTATTTTATTTTTGCGTAATCAATAAATTACGGCGATACATTGAGTTGAAATGTCGCATGACGTCACTTTTGTACTAAACTGTGACGTAGCAAGCCCCCGCTCCTCAACTTTGATGCCTATTATAAGCCATTTCTTGTTTAAATTGAAACAAAAAAAATACCTACCGTAGAACGTGGCAAGTTTACCCAATGGGTGTAAAATTGCCCACTAGGTAACTTTTCATAAAACCTAAAGTAGATGTCGTTGATGTTTTTATAATCCAGGTATTTAATCAGTTGTGGAAAATTCGATATATTTCTGGCAACACAGTAAGTCAAATTGTCTTCTGCTTTACTTTAGTAATCTGTCAGTCATTATTAAAGTTGGTCGTGTTTTTCGCGGGCAAAACTTACGCCGTAAACTTTAATAAAATATTAAACTTGCAGTTGCAACAGGTATGTAATTTTTTCAAATATTGTGTATGTATTTTGAATAAGTCGAATCAGTGAATATTAATAGCAAAATGTCTCCTCAAATCGTAATGAAGAATGTTAACAATTTTTTTTTATTAGCACTCCATATTCTCTTGTCAAAAATAAAAAATACTAGTGAAAGAATTACTTCGATACGACAATTAGTTTCCGATTTAGAAGTAAAACAAGTTGTAACCGCACGACGCGGGCTGCCGGTGACGGTGTGACGTCATTGCACAACACGCACAGTCTGGCTCACTTAGTCCGCTCGCAGTCGCGCGCCCGTGCCGTCGAAATTTTACCTAAATACTTTTAAAAATGTCCAATCCAAATACTAGGAAATCATGTGTTGTGCCTAAATGTAAAAATACAACTACTAATTCGTCGGGAAAGTTGTTTTTTATAGACATCTTTATGATAAATAGACATCTTTTCAACCTCTTTTTTTTCACATATAAAATGTGATTAATGAACTACTTTGTCAAAAAAAAAATTTCATTCTGACCGGTCTAAATGAAGTGTTATACCACTTGTGCCAAAATCTTTAGCTTTAATCATTTTCAGTGTGGTACCAACACCTGAGAGCTTAGATTTTTGTCAATAACACTTGGTAGCAGTCGTTGAAGGCTCTTCGTTTCGACGATGTAGCCACATTAAAAATGCTACAGTATGTTTACAGCCACCTCTGCTGGCGGCACAATCTTCGCAGGTTACATTTAATACTTCTTGATCCTTTTCATTGCATTCTAAACTGCAATGATAAGGTGTGGTACGTACGCGGTGTTCTGGCGTGATTCTACATTTAACCGTACATACATCACCTACTCTTTTAACTTGAACATAACCAATAGCATCATTGCCATAGCTGTTTCTTGCCGATCTGAAATAAGTTTCAAATAAAAATAAATAGCCTTAAGTATTTTGTTAGTAAAAAAATACTAATAAATAAATAAGGTTTAGTACATCTGTTCAAACTTCTATATTTGCAACAAAAAAATAATTTAATAAAATGGCCTTAAGTATTTTGTAAGTAAAAAAAATACTAATAAATAAAAAAGGTTTAGTACATCTGTTCAAACTTCTATATTTGCAACAAAAAATAATTTAATAAAATGGACTTACGTATTTTGTTAGTAAAAAAAAATACAAACAAAAAAAGGTTTAGAACATCTGTAACGTTTAACCCACTACATCTACATCCTAGGTACCTATCCTACTTCCTACTTATATTATAAATGGGAAAGTTTGTGTGTGTGTTTGTTTGTTATCTTTCACGCAAAAACTACTGAACAGATCTGGACGAAGTCTGTAATAATAACACATAGGCTACTTTTAATCCTGGGAAAATGTACAGCTCCCGAGGGAATCGTGGGCGAAGCTGCTGGCGGAAGCTAGTTTGCAATAAATCAATGTATGTATTTATTTAAATTTACTAAGAGCGGTACCTATATATACATACGTACCTACCTATAGCTACAAAACTATAATACATATTTGTCTTTAACGTAAAAATTTAATGGTAGGTAGGTACTTCTACTATTTGAGTTGCATTCTTCCATTACGACATTAGTTGCGTATTTTGTTTTGATAAAACAATTTAGAACAGATAAACTATTAAGCATCAGTAGTAGCAAGGAAAGTTTACTTACCTATGCATTTTTATTCCTCGCATTTCGGCGGCAACGAAATTACTATTTGTTAATAAATAATTCGCAACTTTTAATTTTATTTTAGGTAGATTATCCGATTGCCCTTTTTCGAATCCTTTGTCTATTTTATTAATCGAATAATATTTAATATTATTAGACTATTAACTTAATACACGGGCGAAAACAACAAAATACTGCGCAAGCTATTATATCTACTATAACCGCTGGCGACTTGATACTAAGCGGGGCGCGGCGCGTTGTGACATGACGTCACAAGCGGTCACGTGGCTGTTAGCGGGATTCGATATTTTTCGAAACTTTGAATGCATATAAAATCAAAATTACTAGGTATTTTTGACTACAACAAAAACTAGTGTATTTGTATACATAAGGGCTTTATTGAGACAAAATTTCAAGCGATTTGGCATACCTAGTAACATTCTTCATTATGGTAGTGGGCAATGTTACCATAGTGTAAATGGTACGTCTCTTGACAACTTTGCCCATTAATATTTTAGCATCAGGGCTGTCACACGTAAGTGGTAAACCAGAAACCGTTAAAAATATAGTCTTTTTTTATTATCTTACTACCTTTTGAGAAATGATTCTACTTTTAATGATTCTACTATTTTACTACTTACCAAAAACTACTTGCACAAAGGAATTGACCCATACATTCTTAGCTGTAAAAATATTGTGTTTTTACTTTGCTAGAGAAAGTTGTTTTATTCAATAGTAAAATTAACCACAAAAAAAATAACTAAAAGAGGTACTTATCTCAAATCTTCAGTCTTAACTAAGGCTGGTATGATGAGAAAGTCTTATTATTGGCTGTAACATAACCTATAATTCAATGTGAGTAACAAAGTTAAATTTCGGGTATTGAATGATAATGTTTACAGTCTTAAGTTTCATAAAGTATCTACACATGGCAATATTTTAGATTACCACAAAATAAGAAATTTCTTCAATAAATTTTGAACTCATATGCAACAAATTAAGGGTTGGAAGTTGGATAGTTGGAGAATCTGTCTGATGTGCTATTGTATATTGATGTGATATTGATAAGGCATGTTTTTGTTTTTAGAATGAACACGAAAAGCACCACAAAAAAGAAAAGACTTCGAAGAAAACTAGGGTCTCGAAGTTATCGAGATTATTCGACGGAAATATTGGAGGTAGCTGTTGATATGTTAGAAAAGAATCTTATCTCTAGTAGGCAGGCTGAAAAAAAATTCGGCATTCCACGTCGGACTATATTAAATAAAGTGAAAAAACTGCATATGAAGTTAAAGATATCAGTACGACAATTTTTTTCTAAGTATTTAAATGCTCGTATTTAAATACTTAGAAAAAAATTGTCGTACTGATACCTTTAACAATAAAATGCCTGGTGATGCTTGGGTAGAAAACTTTTTAAAAAGACACTCCTCAAAATTAACATTTAGGACAACACAAAACATTAAGCAAGTTCGTGCCCAAAAAGGTTTGAAAGAAATCGAAAATTTCTTTAACAATTTGAAAGAGACCCTTAAAGATGTCCCTCCGACAAATATCCTAAATTATGATGAGACGAATTTATCGGATAATCCGGGAACAACTAAATGTATTTTTAGGCGAGGTGTTAAATACCCAGAACGGATACTTAATTGCAGTAAAAGTTGCATATCCATTATGTTTACCGCATGCGCAGATGGGACCTGTCTTCCAAATTATGTGGTATATAAATCTAGAAACTTATACTCAGAATGGGTTGAAGGGGGTCCAGATGGACCACGTTTTCATTGCACAAAATCTGGTTGGTTCGATTCTGATACCTTTGAAGACTATTTTCAAACAATAATAGTTCAATGGGCAAAAAAATTATGTGGGCCAAAAGTAGTAATCGGCGACAATTTGTCAAGTCATATTAATATCGAAATCGTAGAATTATGCCTAAAATATGAAATCCGAATGGTATTTCTGCCACCTAACTCTACTCACCTGACCCAACCATTAGACGTTGCGTACTTCGCTCCACTCAAAAGAGAATGGAAGAAAATTTTATTGGAATATAAAATCAGAAATCCAGGACAAACAACATTAAACAAAAAACATTTCCCTAAATTATTAGCTCAGCTAATAGAAAATATTAAGCTAAAAGAGGAAAATAACATAAAAAGCGGCTTCAGAGCCGCTGGTATCTGGCCTATCAATCCAAGAAATGTTATAAAGCGAATTCCAGAATATTATGATGAAGTGCAATATGGAATAGATATAGTCTTATTGAATTATTTGAAAGAAACAAGGTCCCCGAATCCAATGACAGTAAAGAGGAGCAAAAAATTAAAAACAGAACCAGGAAAGTCAGTCTCTGTGGACGATATTTTTGCAAAAGTTAATAGTACAAAGGCAACAAATGTAACAAACAAAAATAAAATAGATAAACATGAATATGAAGAAGAAGAAATATTTATGTTGGACAGAAACAAAGAAATAAATATAGAATCAGATGAAGAAAATAAGATATACATATTAAATGAAAAAACTGGGGAAATGATAAAAAAGACAAATTCTGAAAAAACATGTAATGATGGTTATATGAAACTTACTCAATATGATTTTCCGTCGACATCAACTGGGAATATTAGTAGCAGCTACCCACTAGTGTCGCCATTGTCATCGTCAATGTTTTATAATCCAAATAGTCTGAAAAAAGCTTGTATTGATATGATCAATATTCACATGGATTTATCAGCGTCATATACTACTACAGAATCGTCAGATGTATGTACCTTGAATAAAAATTTAAAAAGTTGCAATGAAAATTTGTTGTTTATAGCAAGTAACGAAAAGGATTTACCTATATGTTTGCAACCAAAGAAAGCACCTTCGAAGTCTGACATTAATTCAAATAAGTTAAAACTACCACCTAGCAACTCACCTAAATTAGTAATAATTTCTGATGTGAAAGTGAATCCAACTAAAAAGGTGACCTCTATTAGGAAGAAACTTAATATTAAGAAAACTTTGCATGGCGCAGAAGCATTAACCATGAAATTAAACCCGAAGACAAAATATCGTAAACATCAATTATTTGAAAGAAAAAATACTAGTAAAAAAGAGAAAAATTAATAGATACGAATCAAGCTCTGAAAATGAAAATTCTGATATTATGAGTATAACTAACACAGATAGTTCGGGAAACGAATTGTTTGAAGACTATATAACAAAATACTTACAAGAAGAAGATATGAAAGAAAATTTAGAACAAGATATTCCGTTTGGGTTCAGTGACATTTCATATTTCACAGGCAAATCTGAAAACTTAAAAAAAGACGACTGGATATTGGCAAAATTTGCCACAAAAAAGAGTTTAAAACACTACGTGGGGCAAGTATTGAGCGTCAAAAATGATACTCCTACAATACAATTTTTAAGAAAAGTAAAATCTTCCAAAGATAGGAGATTGGCTTTTACGTATCCAAACGTAGTGGATATTTGTGAAATGATGCACTTAGAAGATATAATTCTAGTATTACCTCAACCAAATATTTCCCGACGAGGTCAAATAATATTCGAAGTCAATTTAAGTGAATATAATATACAATAAACAACATATTTTGGTCTTAGCTCAGTTAAAACTATATATTTTGTGATTTCGTGATTTTTATTACTACAATAGTGCGTTTCGGTGGCTATATTAATAGTAGTGCATTTTTTATAGTTCCTATCGTGTTAACAACTACCTGATCTCCAAAGATATTTATTATAATGTTGATCTTTAAATAAATAAATTAAATGATAATTATGTTTTTTTGTTTTTAAGTAAGACTCCTTATATTATTAACCTAAGAAAAATAATATTTTATCATAAGCTGTTATAATTTTTACTTTTAAAACTTGGTAAATGACAACCCTAGGTCATAGTTTCGTTTAAATGGAAAATGTTCTACATGGCTTAAGTAACTTTGCCCATGCAATTTTTGTGGCCATTAAGTACGTCTACTTATTTCTTATATCATACAGTATGACATTACCGTGTTCTTTTTCATAGTGCTTAAACTAAAAAATATTGAAGATCAAAATGCAAAAATTACAGACTTACAATGTCAAGTGGGCAAACTTGTGATTTTTTAAAATATTTGGCCCACGATCTAATTTGTCTTTTATGAGAATAAAAACTGTTTTAATTATAGTTATTTTTCATTTTACTTAAAGGCAACTATAATAAGGATCGTTTAGTTCAAATACATTCTTTAATTAATTAAAATTACGTAGCTAAATTCGACTAACGTAAAATAAACGGGCAAAGTTGCCATGTTTTACGGTATCTAATATTTTTCTATTATCTAACTAATGGACAAAATAGAATTATTTTTTTTAATCAGTCGGCATCCCTATTGTCTCAACCAATCAAAGAAGCTTTGAGCTTCAATTAAAATAAAATATGCTGAACAGGGACTAAAAAATTATTTAGTAGTTTTAACTATTCAATTTAGTATATTAGTCTTACGCAAAATAAAAATATAACCTAAGAAATATATCAGTGTACATTCTGTTAAAAATAGCCAGTGTCGAACGCAACCCTGTCGCACAATAGAGGTGCAATCTAATAAAACTTCGAAAAGTTAATAAACACTTTATTCTTTTGAACCTCTCATGTAGCGCTGTGTGCGACGCTGTATTTGTAACAAAATGACAAAATATCGAATAGTAGAAAATAAAGTCATCGAAATTAATTATGTAATGCATCACTTTTTGCATTTTCTTTTCGTAATAAAAAATATATTATAAAAATCTAGTTTATCAACTTAGTTAAGACTAGAAACATCAATAAGACGTACTTTTTATATAAAAAATAATAATATTTCAAATAAAATTATGGTTAAGAAATAGAAAATCCAAATACATGCAAAATTATCAGATCAAATAGTTCTTTTATTAAACAAAATAACATCATTACTCGTATCTATGGTCGAGTAGAAGTAATTACTTGAGTATAAGTAATCTGTATATAATGGATAAAAAGGCAAATTTAATATTAAGGGGTTTAAGAAAATATTTTTCGAGAGCTAATTCTAACTGCCCAACAGTTCTTATTTCATTCTAATTTTCGCTAATTAGTTAGTTTTTGCTTAAGTTATTACTAAAACTCATATGTACTAAATATAGATAAAATAGGTGAAGGATACGTAAGAATGATATATTCTTAATGAAAAATTATTTAAAAAATCCTGACACTCTGAGATGTTACTCGAACCCATGACTTTTTGCAAACCGGGCGACTGCTCTAACCATTGAGCTACCCAAGACCTAACGGGGCTGACGAAGTTTTCAAGCACTTGTTACTTTTTCGCTTTAACAGGACGCATTTTCAACAATCTTCAGGCAATCCACTCAAACCGAAAGCCGAAAGAAATATTTTTATAAATATTTAAATATTCGATAAAAATAAAATTTGTTCTTATTATTATATTTGATTAATTTTTCATTCTCAATACTAAACTTTGTCCCATCTCAGAGTGCCCAAAGTGGATTTTTTAAACATTTTTAATTAAAAATATATTTCAGTATAGCATTGTGAATGCAAAATAGATCAAATTTAATAAGAGTGATATATTTTTATTAAATAAACAAGAATTTGAAATTAATACTGTTATTGGTTAGAATACTATTATTGTTATCTATTAACAGTTCTTACACCATTGAAATTCTCTGTCCTATTGGTTAAAAATATCAAATATTAAAATTAAAGAAAATGTGCTTAAGTTAAATGTGATAACTTAACTTCTTAATTACCTAATTCTCTCAACTACAGATACGAGTTTTAGACGTGCCCCAATAAACGTTGTCCTAATATTAGATTTTTAATTCACATACTCAGCTTGAAGTTACCAATTTAAACAGTGAACCAAAAATAACGATATACATTAAAATTAGTCACTTTTACTCATAATAAAATTCAGCTTTCATTCACTGTTTTATACGATTATCACATTTAGGTACACACATAAACTAATCATAATACTCGTAGATATGAGTGATATGAATTTATCACTCGTTTTACTTTGTATATAAATCAGATCCATATGGTACTTGTGCCTGTTTTCACTAAACTTAGAAATTGCCTTAAATATTTAGTTATCGCCTAATGTGAATGCAAGGTAATTCATGTCACCAATAACTAGGGACATCCTAACGGCATTAGGCAATGTCTATGACATGCGTTATGCGGTGCCTTGCGCTAGGCATTTGCGTGACAGGTCTCAAATGTATTAAGTAAGGGATAAAAGAAAAATGAATTATTGGAATTATACTAATTTGCTTAGGCGATTTGTAATAATAGGCGTTACCTATCTAGGTATCAGTTTTCACTAATTTAGAACAAAGCATAGCTTATCTAAGCTATGCTTTGTTCTAAATTAGTGAAAACTGGTATAATTCATTTAAATGTTTATGTCAAGAATTAAATTCTGTTTTGTACAATTACAGTTGGTACCATGTATTTTATCTTAATATTTAACTGTTAAAGTGCATATACATTATATGTACGTACAATGCTACTTAAAGATACATGCAAAGCTTAAATGTGACAATGTACAATACATGACTACCATCCAAACTGCAAGCCTGTAAGTTATACATACTCATAGACGTGTCCTTGTAGGGCTTGTGGCATTATACCATAGAATATATCATCCATATTGGAATTATATATGAATACATTATAAACTAATTTGTGCTAGAATCACAGTTTCTATTATACATGTAAATATTTTAATACTATCATAGTCTTTTAGTTACAGTTACAGTGAGTTAAAACCAAACATAAAGTAAATTAATATCTTATTACATAAAAGTTAAAAATCCTTTTCGAATATCACAAAACCTTCAAATCGTTAAGTAAAAAAGCATATAATATTCACTTGTACCATTAAATTGGCATTATTAATTAACATCAAAATATAGATTGTACAAAAAGTATCTTTTACTATTCATTCATCATAATTCACTGGTCAAATACAATAAAAATATTCAACGACACCTCAAAACACTCATCGAACATTAACTAAAATTTCACAACGGTTCAACGCCAAGGCACACGTTCAAAATGCCATATTTGCCCTACGTCGTTTGTACACTTCTTAGCCGTCAAGTGGCTACCGACACCGTCTTTACTATCAGTCTTCACTAACGTCAAACACAAGCCTCCTTTCGTCTTCAATCTGGGGCCTTTTTGTTCCCATATTTGTTTCGGTCTATCGCTACAACTTTTCCAAACCGCACGACCGTTACCCTGTTCCAGGCAAAGTCCTTCATCGGCCATCAGTCTGCCTTCTGGCGTATACACTATTAACCTATCAATGTCCATATCGTTCCCACAATCTATGCCCACTGCTGGACCTCCTAAGCCCGGTGTAGTTGACACGACGCCTAAACAACCACCCCTGTCGTTCCTAATTCTCCCGAACCACCTGTCGTCCGTTGGAAAGAAATGTTGCGGCCAAACATTCTCCAAATACCACTTGAAAGATTTGCAATTCAAGTTTTTGCGGAGCACCACTCGGTCTGCTACTTGCTGCCGATCACGGATTGCCGCCACTGAAGGGTTGAATTTGAAAAAGAAATCGGCCCACTCGTCCATCCAAACAGTTGCAGCTCTAGCTAAATTTGAATTGAGGACTTCTGCAACCCCACCCGGATATTTATAAGGGCTGTGTCTCCTAAATATATGTCCCACTCTGGAGCAAGAAGTAATCTCCACTCTCGCGCCACACTGCCACGCACGCCATGATAACTCCAAATTCTCCGCACCCCATATCACCATACCTTTTACAAAACATTACATTCAGTACTCAGATTCAGGTTGTAGAAATTCAAAACAATGAGGCACAACCACCCGAACATGTATCGCAAAATCGAGAAACATATGTCCACAGCCATATGTTACATTTTATATTAATCATACAAGTAAATAAAATAAATACCTTCATCATAACCGCCTAACCGCCAAAAAAGACTCCTTCTGACTGCAAACAGTCCACCAGCCATCGCAGGAGTAGGATAAGGTTTCGAGGGATACTCAGACTTGTTTCTCATCACCTCGCCGCTCGGCATCAGCCAACGGAAATGCAAACGCCAGCTGAAAGCGCCCCAATGCGCGTCGATGCTCTTCGTGTATGCCAACGTGTCTTCAGAGAGTAAATCTATGTGTGGGCAAATGAATACGTCGTCGTTGCCGGCCCGATCCAAAAGAGGCTCTAACCATCCATGAGTCACCTAACATCGCAAAACGAAAACGCAATCAGGCATTTACTTACTAAGGTCATATGAAGTACGTGAAAATTCATTTCTTTAGGTAAAGTAAGCACACAAAGCATCTCAAGTTACCGCAAATTGATAAATTTGATGTATGTACCTGGATTACTTCTGTCACTTCCAATCCTTGAGGTTTGAAATGAACTGGCGTAAGTAAATTTTTATTTGTATTGTAAATTGTATTAGTATTAGTATTGTAAATTAAAAGTTGATATATAATGTGCTGTTGACTGGACATAAGTGCAATATTCTTATAAATGTTACAAGAAGAATTATAAATTGTACGCATTAAGGAACGATCCATATCCATTTACGGACAGCATAAGGGATTTACTTGTCATTTAAAATTTGAGCATCAAAACATTATAAAAAACTCACTTCACAATGTGCGTCCAGAAAAACTAATACATCCCCAGTGGCAGACCGTGCACCCATAAGTCGGGCTCCAACAAGGCCTGTTCTCTCTGGGCTTCTGAGCAACTGAACTTTGCTTAATTTCTTTATTGCGTCATCTAATTCCTTTCCCAAATATTTTCTATCACTTGCATCATCTACCAGAATTATCTGAAATATATTACCAACCAATAAGGAGTCCATAAAACCATTCACTTCGACATGTAGGTAAATAATAATTACATGTATGCTAAACGAAACTTTGAAAAGGGGAAGATTGCTAATTACCGTTTTTTAAGTACATTTAGCGATATTAGTCCATTGCATGGTCTTCAATCAATAATTTCACTCTGGCATAACAATTTGGCAATTTTAATTTGTCTTTTAATGAGTCCTTATGCATTTTAATGAGAAACAGGTAATTACAACTGTTCAAACAAAATGAAAAGTTGTATTCGCAAGGAGATTCTGTAAGCCGGATCCACGAGCCACACCAAATGAAAAAATCTGTTTATTTATGTTAAAGCAATAATCTTAATTTTGATCCAACGCGCTTCAATCACACATGGCAGAGCGCACTCCACAGGAGCGGTCGATGTGAATGTTGCCTCGCGCAAAATGAATAGTGTGATATTTGAAGTTCGAAACACAATCTATGATCCATCTGCTGGATCACGGTTTGTTGTATGACCAGCCCAAGATGGATCGTTTGGTGTAGATGTCGCAGCCAAATGGTTAAAGCAACCGTTCTATCGGGCGGCTAGCCGTTTCATAACTAATTGAATCATTATGACATTTAGACCGTTCAATAAGATGGCTGTTTTATAAGCCGCCAAACGGTCATTTATTTTTGTTATCTTTTATAAAAAAATAATCTCGAAATTGAAGTTCTAAATTTCTAACCTATCACGTGACCTACAGGACCAAAATAACTTCGTTCTGTATCATTTGATGTTGTTATTAACTATTGTAGCACCAAAAATCGTACTAAAACGATTGCAGTCAAATACATTGCTTACTCTGCTTCCGAAGGATAGCGCTGTGGCCGTCTGAGTCGCGGTATATGTTGTCTTTGAATAATAGGGATGATGACTAATTTTTGTTTGTTTGTTCGTCAGGTAGAGTGTTAAAAAATATTAAACACATATTTTTTTATTTTTTTTCGTAATCATAAAATTACGGCGTTACATTGAGTTGAAATTTCGCATGACGTCACGTTATGGAACGTTTTCTACTCAACTGTGACGTAGCGAGCCCCCACTCCTCAACTTTAATGCCTATTACCTAAGCTATTTCTTGTTAAATTGAAGTAAAAAAAATACGTATCTAATTTTTTTCTATTATTTGACTGACGGACTAAATAGAATTGCATTTTTTTTACCCAGTCGTCATCCCTATTGTATTGGTATAAAGAATTTATTTTGAAAATTAAAGCTTAATCCACTTGCATTACGGGTGTGTAAGATATAAGATAGTACCATACGGACCATTAATAAGCAGTTTATTATTATCTTTTTGATCAGTCCTCTATCAATTACAGATCGTCACAAAGAGTTTTTGAGTTTTAATATAAAATCACCCACTACATTAATTATGAGAGAGAATTATTTAGGAAAGAATTTAAATTAAATGTTTTGGATATTGGATTAATTCAAACTATTTTAGCAGAGCCTAAGTCTATAATTGCACAAAAATTATGTAAATTACTGATCAATTTAAAATAAACTGCAGCAAATGCTGTAAAAAAAATCAGATTTAATTAAAAGAATTTAGATTTAAATATGGTATGATGGGGTTGACATGTTCAAAAGAATAAAAACCCATTAAAAATTAAAATACATTAATTATTTTGTTTTCTTCCAATTCGTTCAACTATTAGGCTGATAGAAAGTCAACCTGTTAATTGAATGGCGATTAGTGGGCTGTTTATACCATGCTTCATAATGGAATAAATTGAATAGGACAACATTCAAAAAACTTATTTTAAAATAATCAATATGGGTGCTTACTCCCAAAAGAAAACATTATTTTATGTAAATAAACATTATTACGTACCAAAAACATAATGAGAAAGAATTTTAAAAAAACATTAGTTTCCGAAATAAAACTAGATGTCCCTATGGTACTTTCTTGATTTCTCCATAACAACCCTTCCGGTTTTCTTTCACGTATAAAAGTAAATTTATTTTCAAAACTCAATAAATAACTCATATTTTATTTGTACTTCTTCATATTCGTATTGATATCTAAGTTTCAAACTTTGCAAATCTCGGTTTTTTAATATGTTATTTAAAAGGAACGAAATTAGTATCTTTGATCCATTCGTTTCCTGCAAAAATCAACTTTTGATACAGTCGCCATCTAGTAAGGTACTTTTTAGTGCTATCTTTTTTTCTTAAAATACTTCCTCATTAAAATGCAACTCTTTAAAAAAACCGCGTATTTTCTATAAAAATACAAAGATGACACTTTCGATATTTCCTGAACTTTCACTAGAAAATTTTATTACCAATTTATCTACAAATGACAACACGAGTTCTGATTGTTGTTCATTTGACGTCAGAAAAATTGAAAATCTATATCTATAATTTTATTTATCGATTTGAAATTATAAATCTAAAAAATCTATAACTCTCTTGTGATATAACAAAAATCTTTGCACGTTTTAATCAAATTTTTACCAAATTGCTGTCCGACCCATATTAAAAAAAAACACCGCCTCTCTTCATATGTGCATTGCACCAACATTACAAGATTACAACCTTGTAAAATGGATGTAACGCAATCAGTTCTAACCTGCTTCAACAGTTCCTCTGGAGATCTGATAAGCACTGACATCACAGTACGCATCAGGGTCGACCAAGCCTCATTGTGAAACACAATGACCACACTAGCAGTTGGAAGATTATTTATGTCATATTCAATGCTTTTACAACTGTAATGAAAAGAAAAATAAATCTATATTTTGATTTAGTTATACACTAAGAACTATATGAATAAAGTATACCCAATAAAAGAAACATCAGTTATTTGGAAATCACTGTACATATTGAAGCATACCTCTCACTTCTAACATCTGGAAGACTTCTGTTAATTGAAATTTTATCGCTAACTAATATATTGTAAGAGTGTAGTGAATATAATTCTCTCGCTGTAATTAATTCTTTTTGGGAGAGCATTACTGGTCGGCCACCTTCGCCTTCCCCAGGCACAGGAGAATAATTGTTTCTATGAATTATCTCTGCAAAATAAAACACAAATTAATGTATTTTCATCAATTACTTTGCCAAAGAAATTTCATTAATATTTTAATTTGGCATAGTTCCTATAAATAAAAGTATTAGCTTTCTCCGCCCGCGTGATCCATAGAGAACTGTTTCATGTTATATGTCAATTCAGAATACTAAATAAATAAATTAATATTAGACAGCATCACATACATTGCTCAGATTCCTAAAGCTCCCGTATTACGGAATATCTGAGATAATGAAGGTGCCATAACACCCAGACCCGAGACAAAAAAGGAAAGTCCGTTTTCTACATTGATTCGACCGCGAATTTCCGGACCCCCCCCCCTCCCCATTCATATCCATCTTACTTTTCCAACAGAAAAAAATTACATGCACCATGTCTATTGTAGAAAACGATGGTTGGTGTGGAGTGTCCCTAATCAGATAGCTATAAAACGTAAAAGACTAAATTTAGTACTTTGAAGTAACTTTGTTACTTTTGAATAAATATTACAATACATACATTACATTACAACTTTTTATTTAAAGGCACAAACTCAGAGTAACTAAAGTTATATGATTATATATTATAATTGTATTTGCGTGTTAGTCAATGTTTACAGGCAATGTTTAATTTGTAAATAATAATAATAATAATATTTCTTTATTTTTCTCCACAATAGAAAAAAATGTACAAAAATGCAGAGCGTATCAGGGACATCAGAATTTATCGTGGAGACTGGTGCCTGCACTTGAGTGTAAAACCTGTTTTACAGGTCACCAGGCCTCCAACATCCGGAATATAAGTGTAGATTTTATACACAATTTTATAAAAGTATTCGTTAAAAATTTAATGATTCATCAGTGATTCTCCCATCGATTCTGCCAATTTGTGTAATATGCTGTATTTATTTTAGTACCATTTATGTTGTATATGAATCAATACAGACACAGACACGCGCACACAAATACCCGCACAAAGAAACATACGTGTATGTACTCATACAAGTACGTTTGGTTGTCTGTTGCATCTTCAAGCAAAAACAAATGAGGAGTTTTGATAAAATTTGGTACACTGATAATTTTATGCCTGAATCTGGTATAAGCCACTATTTGTTCCTACCAAAGTGAGACCACATGGATGCATATAACTGGAGGAAAGTGAGTAACAAATAATACTTCACGCCGATACTGGTGCTATCCCTACGATACGTCTCAATCTTGGGATCATTGATAGGGACTTAATAATAACATAAACTGTATTGTGTCTAACTCCAGCGTCAAAGCGTGATATTTAATAAGGACTCAGTGTCATCATAGTCTAGTTCCTGTAGCCAATTAACAATCTTTTTCTTACATTCTGCTCGAGACATTGGGTATATAGATAGAACGGCGTCTAATTTTTTATATAAATGACTACCTAAGAAGCAGAAGAATTTCTGTGAAAACTTCGTGTTAACTCTAATTCCAGTGCATACACTGCGGCTACTTCTAATGTTCCCAAGTAAGCCTGGATCGTAATCTATTTCTCGATGTTTCCTAATAATAGTATTGAGAATAAATAGTTGACGTACAGTTAACACGTCGCACCTCTGGTACAGTTCAGTTGTTGGGAATAGAATCGGCAACCTTAGACTGACTTTTAGTACAGCCCTTTGTGCCCTCTCGAGGGTTAAAAGCGAAGTTTTAGAACTACCTCCTCAGGATGTTATACAATATGTAAGCAGGGATTGTACCAACGCCATGTAGACAGTTTTTAATATTTTTTTATCAGCTACGTCTCTTAAGTTTTTAAAAATATATATCATTTTACGTATCCTGGCTGTGATTAAATTAATGTGCATTTGAAAGTTGAGATTGCTGTCTATTACAACTCCGAGATATTTGATGTTGTCCATTTTTACTAACTTATGACAAGTACAGTAGTTGCCAGTCTGAGAGCAATAGTTAGAGTGAGACACTATACAGAAATTATCTTCAGATTTGGTCTTATAATTTTTTATAGAAACTGTGACGAATTTAGTTTTGGTATTATTGAGTGTAAGTTTATTTATTAGCAGCCATTTTTTAACAAGATTAAACCCATTCTGCGCATGTGTATATACCTGATCCCAAGTATCCCCAAAAAATAACAATGCTGTGTCATCGGCAAAGGTAATTATCTTGCCATTAGTTAACTTCATCCTGCATAGATCGTTAATATATGCTAAAAATAAGGTTGGTCCTAGTGAACTTCCCTGTGGAATTCCAATATTAATAGAAAGGTCAGAACTGCATAACTCTCCGATCCGAACCCTTTGAAATCAATTTGCAAGATAATTTTCGAAAAGATGAAGTTAGGTACCCCTCTTATTCCGAGTCTTTCGAGTTTGTTTAGTAGTATAGGTACAGAAACTGTGTCAAATGATAGATTTTATTCATTTTAGAGCTCTGTTTTTGTTTTGGAGACCCCCCCCCTTGTCCAAGCTATAGCTATCTGTGGTTTTATAGGTAAATATTGGTACTGTAAAACTTTATGGATGAATAATTTTGTCTCCTATATGTATATAAGCATATTAGTATTAATCTTTCCAGCAAAAAGTTGACCTAAATGAATTTCAAATAGACCGATTTATTCACCGTAACAATACCATTGACCTGCCTTCTAATACACCACAATGGTAACATTCGTTTTGATCTTTTCATTACAGTTAACAATGATATTCAACACCATTATTAACAAATTTTATTCTACTTGATAAAATGACTGTAGTGGGCAGTATAATATATAATATATGTTCATCAAGTACACAGAGATTTTAGATTGAATAGCATGTTTTTTAAACAATATGAAATTAAAACAAAATTATTCATATGAAAGTATCAAAATTATAGCTTATCCTGACATTATAATAAATTGAGGCAAAGGTTGTATTAAGGCATAAATTGTATTAAGTAATAGATTTGATTATTTGTTTAGATTGAAAAAGCTCTGAAACTGATGAACCATTTTAGTGAACCAAACGCATAATGCTTATACATGTTGGTAATGTTTATTTTTAAAATGAGTAGTACATTAGCCTGCATTTTTTAAATTTGTGAAGCAAAAATATTTGCATTACCATTTACCATACGCCTATTTGCTCTATATTAAGTTTTATTAATGTGTTTGATTTGTTTGTTTTTGATTTGTGAAGAGAAAATCGGTCATTTCAAAAACCACTTAAGTCACATTTTTTCCAACATGCGTTTTTTTGCTGAAAATGCTTCCTCAAAGGTAGATGCGTATTCTGGGTGAAAACAGCTTAAGTCAATACATTCCTTCCTCTTTTAATAATACCGCGTGAAAGACGTTCATTGCTTAAACAACATTAGTCAATGACTTAAGAGGTTTTTGCATGCATCACTAGATGGCAGGAGTAGTTTATGACTGAGATTGACATTTTAAAATTGCTTTGTTTTGATTGGTTCAACAATATTAAAATTTTTGTAAACCATCGCCATTATTGTCATTTGAACTTTACTTGTCTTTTACTATTTTAAGAGAAAAGTAATTTTTGCTTTAAAAAATGTCTTCAAGTGAAACTGAGAGTGATGGTGAGCCGAAAAAGAAGAGAACGTGTAATCCTACAAAATATAAAAGGAATGTTATAAAAAATTCTAAAGTTAAAGGTCAGGCACATACTAATTATCGAGGAAAACAAATAGCTCCAAGATCTACTGGTGAAAATTGCAGGCAAGTTTACCATAAACCTTTATTCAGTTTACGTTTTTTTATATAAACCTAATATATCGCTTAATTATTGCAGATGTAAGAAGGAATGTTTTGCGAATTTCAATCAAGATGACATGGACTTTTGCATTTCAAAAATGAACTGTTTTTCAACCAAAAATGAGCAGGATATATTTCTTCAAACACTTATTGATAAGTCAGATAAAAAACAGAGGCGTCCTCGAAAAGAAAATGTTACACAGAGGCAAAATGCCTTTCAATTATATGTTTTAAAACAAACTGATAAAGTTAAAGTCTGCAAGAAAGCATTTATCAGCCTGTATGGAATTACAGAAGCCAGAGTTCGCAGACTTTGTGATTTGCTTAATGAAGGGAAGAGTCCAATAGATAAGAGAGGATGCCACCCGAAAGCAAATACAGTGCCTCCTGAAATATGCCAAAAAATACACGAACACATCCTCTGCTTTCCTAGGAAAAAGACACATTATGCAGGAAAAGACATAGATTATCTTGATGCACGATTGGATGTCAAAAAAATGCATTCAATGTTTAATGAATAATATCCAGATCTCGATGTAAAGTACAAATTTTACTTGAAATACTTTAATGAAAACTTTTCCCTCAGATTTGGTCGACCACAAGTCGACACATGTATAACTTGCGAAGAACTATCAACAAAAATAAAACAATCCAACTTATCAGAAAATGCAAAACGTTCAGTAGTAGCTCAGTTTCATCAGTTCAAGATCTTTGTAAAGAACGAGATGATGTTGCAGCGATAACATTCGATTTTATGCAAAATCTACCATTGCCACACATACCTATACAAAACATTTTTTATTTACGGCAATTATGGGTTCACTGTTTTGGTATTAAGGATTTAAAAACAGGCAAATCGACATTTTACATGTATCATGAAGGTATTGCTAACAAAGGAGCCAATGAGGTTTGTTCAATGTTGATGCATTATATAAAAAATAATATTGGGCCAAATATTAAGTATTTATATCTTTTTTCCGATGGCTGCCCCGGTCAAAATAAAAATAATACAATGTTGAGATTTATGTTGGCCTTGACTGACTCTAAAAGATTTGAAAAAGTTTATCAGTATTTTCCCACACGAGGTCACTCCTTTTTACCAAATGATCGTGATTTTGGAGTCATAAAAAAAAATGTTCGAAAGCATGATCGTATTTACGTCCCAGGAGAATACATTGATTTGATTTCGAACTCCAGCTCAACATTTACAGTCGTAGAACTAAAAACTGAAGATGTTTTAGAATTTAAGAAATGGTGGCCAAATTTGTACAAAAAAACATGTTTGTCAACTGAATCTTATGGAAAAAAAGTCCCAAAGGACCAGAAAAAGTCATTTGCTCCTTCGACATACATGAGTTTTCAGTATGATTCAGATAGAAAAGGAACTATCATAGCCGAGGAATATATTGATGGATTGATCAAACATTCGTTCTCATTAATAAAGAAAATAACAACTTCTATTTCACTTCCATCAACTAAAGCCTATGATTTGAAAGTGCCCATCAATAAAAAAAAAAATAGATGATTTAAAACAAGTTGAAGATAGCATTCTGGAAGAGCATATGCCATTTTATAACAACATTTTTAGCTGGCCAACTGTAATAATTGTTGAAAATAATCCAGATGAGAATGATGGAGAATATGACTATGTACCATAAAAATATTAAAAAATAACAAGTTAATGTATCTAAAATGTTAATAAGATTATTTTGAAGTGCAATTCTTAATTATAAGCAATAAAAAATATGATTACTACGATTGTTTTGTTTAAATTATATGCCACTAAACCTATTCCTTGCTAAAACAACATAAGTTTTTAACTGTTTTTTCAGATTTTTTTCATTATTTCTATTAATAAACTGTAAAGATTATACGCTATTTTAATTTCTTATCACTCAAATACTAAACTAAACCATCAGTGGTACAAAATTGATTTTTTGCTTACTCTCTTAGTGCTAACCAATATTTGATTATATATCAAATCTTTAATCACTCTTTGCAACTTTTATAAATATTTGGTTACACTGCTATAGACCTCAAAAGTTAATTTATTACTAATAACAGAAATAGACATTAATATATATAAGTTTATATTTTTATAGCTTTTTAATTATATCAGGTTAATTTCATTATTTATGGTACTTGCAATTGAAACATACCCTCTGATAAGTTGCGTCCAATGTTACCTCCAACATAATGTCCCACAACAACTCTCATTCCAGTCTTATCCACATAAGAATTTTCATCAAAATGTAAACTAAAATAATAATAAGAATGATATATCATAAATTCACAATCATATTAACTTAATCTAATTTTAAAACAAATAAATCTTCAGAATTAGATATTAAAAACATACCTATTATACCATGGTTCTTTGTGTCGTCGTTTTACAGTATTATACAATTCAAAGCTTACATAAAACAATGCGTTAATTAACAAAATTAACATCATAATCAAAGTTGCTATCTTTTTCCTTCGACCTCTACACATCAAAGACCAATAACCCTGAAATTAAGGTACACAAGGTACACAAGTATTATAAACAAAAAGATATCAAAAATTCTACATGAAATAGATAAGTGACTAAAATCGAACTGTATTCTTCTCAATATTTCTTTTAATTGTTTCACTTGCTTTACTTACATTTCTTAGCATTTTCAATTATGACTTATTTATTAAATGGACAACTACCAAATTTCGTAGACAATCTAGAAATTAATATTTAAATATTTAATTATGGTTTCATCTGTTAAGCACAAAAAACTAATAGCCCGCTAACATTTTTTTTTTAAATAAAGGAAATCATTTTTACAACTACATCGATACTAGCAGTAAATTACAACCACAATCTATATAGGTACATCACAACCAACTACATCAACAAGATTAGTGTCTTAGTGTCAAACTTTTGACAGACCATAATGACAACTGACACTGACAGATCATCCACAGACCGAAAACCACAAAATAGAGGTAAGACGTATTTACTAGGATCCATCTACTAGTTTTTTTGGAATACTAAGCGGCACCTATTATATTTTCTCGCTCTTCATGTCTTCATTCAAATATGATTCCAATGAGAAATATTTAAAAAAAACATTAGTTCCTTAAATCAAACTAGATGTCGCTACGGTACCTTCTTGATTTCTCCATGACAACTCTTCAGGTTTTCTTTCATATTTAAATGTAAATTAGTTTTCAAAACTCAATAAACAACTCATATTCTATCTGTACTTTTTCGTATTTGTATTGATATCTAAGTTTCGAACTTTAAAAATTTCAGATTTTTAATATGTTAGTTAAGAGGAACGAAAATAACTGTCTTTGGTTCATTCGTTTCCTACAAAAATCAACTTTTGCTAGAGTCACCATCTATTGGAGGCGCTTTTAAGTGCTTTCTTTTTTTTTAAATACTTCCTCATACACATTTGACTCCCGCCTAGAAAATACAAAAAATTGATTTACAAAAATTGATTTTAAAACTACATAAGTATTAATTAAGATAACTGGACTAATAGCTCAAAAGAAAATAAAACGTATGTTAAATTATCTTCAAAACGAAATAAATATATTTTGATGATAGGTCAACCCAAAAGTTAACATATTTTTTCCTTTTAATCGGCCTCTTTGCTTATTCAAAATCAATCTTGCTGTGAAAACTGTCTTTAACTACAAAAACAATCGGCCATAGTATCACATTCGATACATCAAACAAAAAACAAACACACACACAACAACAACACCACACTCTGACTCGTGAAGTGCTGCCATATAGATATACATATTTCTCCGCATTTATACAGATTTTCGGTGTATAATACAGATAAAGGTCTTCACATAATAAAAAGTTCCTTTTACCACATGTCATCGGACCGTACATAGAGCGTTAAAGCTAAAAACTCACAAAAAAAAACTTACACGGTTACCAGTAGTGGAATATAAACAAACATAAAAATATGCAAAATATCTAGAAAAAAAAATACTGTTCCTGAACATTATGGTTTATCATTTTCAGCTCAAACTTGTGATCGTATTGATTTTTATATTAGAATCATTTTTTTTTATTTTAATATCATTGAATTTAAGGTAAAACCTCGATCGTTACACTTTCTTATTTTACCTCTTGATATAGGGCAAACAATAAGTTAAGTTGATATTTTTTCTATTCGTAGATAAATATACCTCGTGTGTTCATACATTTGAGACGAAATAAAAATTGCACAACTTTTTTAATAATTAACTTATATTTCTAAAATTTTCAGTAACCATTAAATAGATAATAATCAACAATTAAATATATATTTTATTAAAAATGACCGCCCTTGTTTTTAATACAGGCCCTTCCTTAGACGATTTGGCCAGTCATCAAAGGCAGCACGAATCTTTTCTAGCGGAATTCACCGGGCTGGAGGAAGGCCACTTCTCCGCCACTATGAAGGCAGGCACATTCTCCCTCACCACGGATTCTAAAATGTTACTCTGATAATTCTTGGCTTTCACCTTGACACCTTGTTCATATGTAACTCCCCACCATAGCGTCACATTAGCCGGATGATGAGCGAGACATTCCGTGCAGAAGCTGGGACATCCTTGCTACTTTTAGCATACACTTTATTGTTTTGACTTGAACTGTTAAATATTTTTTGTGTACCGGCATGTGACGTCACAAATACCACGTGAGCAGCACTATTACATAGAACAGCGTATTTTTTTGCGCGATTTTGACTATTTAAGCTTTAAAGTTATTTTCATAGAAAATAAAACAGATTTTTATGTAATATATTAACAGTGTGTCTATAATGTACCAAATAACCATTTTAAATAGTTTCAGAAAATCATCAAATACCCTATTGACATTTATTTGAATTCGATAACGACTACTTTTAGTTCTTCTGATGAGTAAAAAATTTCTATATGAGTTTAGTAGGAAGATTTTGTATATATATCTAAATGTTAAACTTTGGTTGAATGTCTTCGAAATATCTATGTAAACTTTTGTATGTTAGGCTAAAAGATCGGGTTCCAAACCAAAATAAATTAAAAAAGCATCCCTAGCTGTCATGCAAATACATTGTTTTGAATTTTTGTCTTGAAGATCAAATCGTTTGACTGTATTGATATTTGTCAACTCCGTACAATAAACCAATCGCGTAGGGGTCCAGTGATGTATGACATTTCCACACGCCCCTCACCCCTGTCAGTAGATGGAGACATGACACCTGACAGAAACTGTCATTACAACAAAGAGTAAAGATACTAATGTTTTAATTAATCTTTAATTAATTTTACTTGTTGGAATTAATTTATTCATTTCACATTGGCAAAATTGTGTGAAATGCGCAGATATGCCATTAATAAAAGAAGAAGAAGACTAAAGTATGTACCTACATATCAGGGAATTACAAGTGATTGAGTAAAGTTTCTTTTGTGCTTACCCTGTTCGCTTTATTTGTAATATAAACTCTCCATTTTTCGAAGTATTTTTATTTGTAGAAGATGCCTAAGAAATTGGTGTGTTGTGTTATGGTTGTGTTACACGCATTGTTAAAGTACGAACAGGACGCTATTCTTTGTAAGATTCTAGTGAACGAGAAAAGATTCTCCAAGTGGTTACAATGTCTTAGTGCTGTGTGTGATACTGAAAATTTTAATCCAGGCAGAAGTGTCATTTGTAGCAAACACGATGTACCAAGATTCATCACTCCAAAATCATGACTCTTGGAGTGATGCATATCCGTCATTGTTTAATGATGATGGGCTCTCAATCAGCCTACCCTCTTCAAGCAATACTGGTAAGGCTGGTTTAATCTGCTATTACCTTTAGATAATGTAATTAAAATGATATGTATCTTCACTTTATGTTGTGTTTTGGAATACCGCTATTCTTCATTAGATTTTTTTTTATTACAGAAATTATATTCACTTGGGAACACAGCTATGCAAGAAAAAGTCATGTTGACCACACATATTAGAAAGTGGAACTGAACAGAGGTTTGTTTTTAATTTATTTTATTTAGATAACAAAGTTCATGCTGCAGTTTTGGTGTATTTTAATATAGATTTTTGCTTTAAAAAAGTCTAGTAGATCTCTCTTTCTTACACACATAAAGAAAAATTACATTAAGTTACTTAACTGTAGTGGGCACGCTTGAAGTGATTTTGATCAGAGAAAAAATTGATAATATAAATAACATATTTCTAATATCATCTAAGATTATATCCTGTTTTTTAATCTTACACACATAATCAATATTGATTTCATAGGTGGTGTAATTTTAAAAGAACAAATTGAGACTCCTGTGTCTGCAGCCACTGAGTTTACTCAATTAGTTGCTTGCTCTGGAGATTAAAATATGACACAAACTAAACTATCTGGTAAGACCTGTCTCTTTCTTTAGTGTATCTTTATTTCAATCAAATAGTAGTTCTAATAGAGAAATTCACTGAATACTTTTGATGTTACAGACCCTGTGAAATGTACCCAAACGAAAAAGGAAAAGGCTTATTACCAAATAAAGCCAATTGTCACCTTTATACCAGAGAATTTATGAAGAATATAACAAGCCAAAGACATAGTTTAACTTTCTTAAAAAAGTTAAGAATACTTAAATACCTTTAAGTTTTGTAAAAAGTTATCATTTGAGAAGTTCAGACAAAAAATGAACACAGTTGCAAATAATGTTTTTGAAATGCATGTGAGCATGTGCTCTAAAAATAAACATGAGAGGTGATTCACTACCGAAGAAAAGATAATTGCTTTATCAATATCAAAGCAGAGTCCAAAGTGTTATTGATTTTTAAGCAAAATTTTTTATTTTATCTACCAAAACTACACTGAATACTATGATTTGAAAATTGATCATAGAACCAGGCTTCATGTACGAGGTAAATATATTCCATATAAGTTTTTTCATACTACTTTTATAATTTTATGTATTACTACCAAATAATAATATTTACTTTTTCTACTACTATTTGAATTTACTTTTTCAGGTGGACAAATGAAACTCCAAAAAATATGCTCCATTATATTTGATGAGATGTCATTAGAAACAGCACTTTCGTATAATAAAAGTAATAAGGATTATAGATAACATTAACGGATTTGTAGAACACCAAGAAAAGAAAGTGGATTTTGCAGATCATACTCTTGTATTTATGTTGGTGCTGTTTACAAGTAGCAACAGCCTTTATGTTTATTTAAAGTTAGTAGTAGAAAAAGTTGTTGAATCCCAATAATATATGACCAAGGCTCAGCTTTCCCATCAGCACTCAAAAATCTAAAAGAAGACACTTAGTGTGATCAAATTTTAAATTGAAATCACAGGTTGGTACAGAGAATTATATTTATATGAAAGAAAACTAATAGATTTAATGAAAGTAGTGTAGGTTCTTATTTTTATATTGTTATCTATGTTTTAAGAAGTTCTTAAATTTTTGTTTCAGTTGGCATTCTTAAAATATGTGGGGTGGATTTGAATATTATGATTCTACACACTTGATAAAATGTATCAGGAATAATTTTGGTGGTAAACTTGCAAAATGGCATGATATTATTTATGTCTATGAGACAGACTGTCAACACACTGAAGCTGGGCTACGTCATAAATTAAATGACCAATGAGTTATACCTGATAAAATTAAAAAGATGAAGGTAATGCATTGGTTATTATATTAGTATAACTTAAATTAGTATAAATAAAATAAATAATTTGTATTCAGCTTCTATATTCTCTATCAGAGCAAGTGTTGATTCAATGACCTGTATTTTTAATTATGTAACAAGTAGTTAATATAGTTTACACTTAAATTACAATAATGATTCTCTAATGAAGATAATTTTAAATATGATATCTCTTTTTGCAGGTAAAAAATTGTGTAAAAATATGTCTGCAGCTTTGTCTTGCACTGCAAATTTCTGTGAGTATTAGATGAAATTTACTAACAGTTAATTGTTTTGAATCAAGTTTCATACAATTATTATATGAATATTTTAATTTGCAGCAACTTATGAGGATGTGCACAACATTAAGAAATGCAGCTGAAGTTGTTTCATTCTTTGACCAATTATTTGATAGTGTCAATGGAGCATCGATAAACAAAAAAAGCATAAAGGAAAAGAGCTGTGACAGATAAGACACACCATCATTCTTTCTGGCCAAAGGCAATTGAAATTTTAGGAAAACTTAAATATGTGTATAAAAAGGTATGCAAAAATCAGTGCCCTCTTTAAAAAAAATTGTGATTACCTTGAAAAGTTTCATAAGGTTGTGCCACTAAAAAAACGTAGCTAGGAATTGCCGAGAATGCAGAAGAGAGCTGTGAAAAATATAATAAGTTAAAAAATAAATTATTCAATAAATAATATTGGAAAAATGTGTGTTTTATTTACGTGTTTATTTTTCCTTTTTTGTTTTAATACAACAATAATAATAAGCTAGACTTATCAGTCTGCTTTATTATTATTGTTGTATTAAAACAAAAAAGGAATTTTAATTAAAGTAAAAATAATGTGGAAACTAGGAAGAGGGCTAGGTACCTACCCAAAACAGGGCTGTATAGCTAAATGCCTTTGCCGATAGTAGATCTATATATTTAAAACGAATGATGCTGTCATGTATCACTGGCTCCCAATCACGTTCTACGAAGAAATTTTTTGTTAGGAAGTTGGTCGTCTGATACCTATTTGTATAACCCTATTATTTTAGAAATAAGGATGTCTCGACGGGGAGATGCCTGGAGAAAACAAAGACACGGCAATGCCAATGCTTCATCTAGCTGGACTAGAAATAGGTTCCGAATACCACATCCACCTGGATTAAGAGGTCGTCAAATTGGATTATTCTATCGAGATTTGAATAAAAAAAATAAGAATACTAAAAAAGATCACGCAGTACGTAGAGCTTTTTACTATGGATTCTTTCATTTTATTAAGTTTTTTTCGCCTCTTAAGTAAGCAGCTGCGAGATATTGCACTACGAAAGTACTAATTAATTCTATAGATTTAGATAATATACAAAAGTATGTAATATTTTACCGTATTATCCCTGCATCGTTAATATTATGTTTTCAATTATAACGAGAGTGCTAGTCGCCCTGATTGTGAATGGTTATGGAATCTAAACCTATCTCTGGTACCTGAAACTAATAGATGATTTTTAAGTATCTTTCTTTACAACAACAAATATCTTTAAATATCAATATGTGACTGCAAAACTGATCAAAGATATATAATATTCATATTTCTTTTCTGTTTAATGTTTATTGATATTTCTTATTAAACATTCGCCTTTCTCATGGGGTCTCCAATAGCTCAGAAAATACTCACCCAGATAGTGAAAGGGATAATGTTTTAATAAAAACCTTTTATGATTACTATTATGATTGTTTACAGCTAGCTCTTCGCATACCTAAACCAGTAATAACAAAATTAATGAGAAATCTAGAAAATATAGCAACCATTGCTAAGAAAGATAACATAACTATATTGCCAAAGATGATTTCAGTATTATTTCCTGAAAAACTTGATAATGAAAATAAAGTAACAACTAAAATACTTAATGACATTGAAGAGAATGAGCCATCTATAAAACTTTTGAAAACTGATCCTTCAACTATTTGTGCTCCTGGCCCATCACAGACTCCCGATTTTATACCAATAAAATCAGAAGTATTCCAAGAATATGGAACAGGAGAGCGGGTTTTATCATTGAGAGGTGCTGGTGATTTTAAGTATGGATACAAAGATATCATAACTGGTACTTTTGATGAAAAACTAGAAGAATGTTTGTCAAAAGGTATAAATATTACTAAATCAAATGATGAAATTACCTCTTTAAATAAACTATTTTATGATGAACATATAAACAGACTATCAAATTCTCAATATCTCAAAATGAAAAAATTTCGAGAGACACTACCAACATATAAAAAGTCAGAAGATCTGTTGAATGTCATTAACAATAACCAAGTAGTAGTAATAAGTGGTGAAACCGGCTGTGGAAAATCAACACAGGTTTAACATATAAATAATAACAGTTTTTTGACAAGCATGTAAATTGTATAAGGGAAATTATACACATTTATATGTTTCAGGTACCACAGATAATACTTGATCATGCTCTCATGAACAAGAAAGGAGCAAATGTTAAACTGTTAATAACACAACCAAGACGTATTGCTGCATCCTCTCTTGCAGTTAGAGTGGCTAAGGAGAGGGCAGAATCAATGGGTGTTTCTGTAGGATATGCTGTAAGATTAGAAAAGTTGGTATCAAAACATTTTTTCACTTTTAAAATTGCTAATTATTTCAATTTATCAATTAATTTATATATTTTTATTTAAAGAAACAAAAATAAATTTAGAATATTTTTTTTGCACTAAAAGATAAGTTTTATTTTTTCTTGTTATTGCTAACAACTTAATAATGACACAAAATTTTACATAAATTAGTAGGGTCAAATGTGATATCCACAACTTACTACTTATTAAATTAAGTTTCTTAGGTTGACTTTTTTACAGACTTATAAAAACTATATGCTTCTTTTGCAATTAAAAAATTTCCAAAATATTCTGTTTTAAAATTCGACTTTAAGAAACAGTGTTTTACTATATTATTCCTTTTAGAGAAGAAGCAAGACCCCGTGGAAGTATGATGTTTTGCACCACTGGCATATTATTAGTTGATTTAGAAACAAATCAAGGTTTGACAGACTACAGTCATATTATATTGGATGAGGTTCATGAAAGAGATTGCCATATTGATTTTGCTATGTGCATGTTGAAGCAGGTTTGTTGTTTTCCATGTCTATATAACAATAGGGAATATGCATCTGATTCAAAAAAGGTTTAAAATAAAGTCTGTGCAAATATTTTTCAACATTAGTTTGTTTTTCATTCATACACCATGCTACTTGTCAAAGCAGATGTGATGAAAATATACATGTATAGGGATGTTGTTGTAACAAAAAGTTAACATTGATGCAATAACATCAATGTATTATGTCACAACAACTGATTACAATTTAAATTATGTTTTAGGCTTTTATTTTTATTTCACCAATTATAAACTATACCATTATTAAACAAGTACATTATACTTAAAAAAATTGATTAGTTGTAAATTAATTTGGGTAATTGAATAATAATCAATTAATCAAAATTCACATGGGTTTAAAATGTTATATCTCTGGTTGTGTTCTTTGACAACAAAGGTATCAAGAAACAAAAATTCTGGCGTTTGATTGTAGTTGTTATTTATTTGCATCTATTATGATTGAGTAGCTCGTTGGCGTGAGTAGCTCGTTGGCGTCGTCGATAAGCGCCGCGGCCCGCGATCGTAGTCGTTAAGCAACTTTCGCAAGGGTCGGTCACGGGATGGGTGACCAAAAAATTATTATCTCGTGCTTCGGAAGGCACGTTAAGCCGTTGGTCCCGGCTGCATTCGTTAATACCCTCCAATCCGCATTGGGCCAGCGTGGAGGGTCATAGCCCATCCTCCTTAACCATCCATAAGGAAGGCCTGAGCCCCTGCAGTGGGGATGTAAAAGGGCTGGTGATGATGATGTGATGATGTGATGTGATGATGATTATTGTTGTTAAAAAATTTTAGTACCAAGTATTTTTTTACAGTTATATAACAATGTAAATTATCATATGGAAACATTTTAAAAAATTTGCATATTATTGATTCATATATTATTCCCTATTATTGATAACTTTACAATGTCTAATAAACTTACAATTTACTTATATTAAGGTACTGCAAAAGCGAAAGGATTTGAAACTAATTTTAATGAGTGCTACAATAGATGCAGAGAAACTTTCTGCTTTTTTTAATGACTGCCCAATGATGCACATTGAGGGATTAGCTTATCCAGTGAAAGATGTATACCTCGAGGAGATTCTTCACTTGACACACTTTCAATTGAAAGATGTACCACAACCAAAGGGTGATCATAAGTTTAGAGGAGGAAGAAATAGAGCAGCTGCTGCTGGAAATGAGAAAGCCATTCAGTACAGAGCAGAAATAAGTAAGTAATTTAATTTATTTAACTGTTTGAAAAAAGACTTGTAGGTACTTATTTTGATAAACTATAAAAAGAAACTTTTTTTCAAAATAAATATATTTCCTTGCCTTAAAAATAATTAAAATTTATACTTGTGAAGATACTGTTTGCTCTATTTGTTATTATTTTAATAACAAAGTTTTAATAATTGTCAATCAGACAAGAGTAGTGCCATATACAGTTGCGTAACGTGGGGCCCTGTATCAATATTACTTGGAGGGGCGCAAAAGAAGGGTGAAAATTTGTGCTGACATATGTTAGAGGTCCCTAAAACCCGGGGGCCAGTATCGTTTATATGGTTGATACGGCGGTAGCTACTCCCATGGCAATATAACTATAAAATAAAAAGATATAAATAAGACAAGAACAGCTAAGCGCCGTCTAGGGATCTATAATAAAATTACAGCTGCAGAAATGTTTCTATCGATATGACGTCACACCAGTCGTCCGGTCTCAGATAATGTGATACAGAGACAAAAACTCATCGGTTTATTGGATTTGATGACTTACAAATCAGAATATCATTAGTTTTTTTGAAAATGTATTAATAATTCATTAATTCTATTTTGATTGTAATTTTTAGGACCCTGGCTGGAATCTATAAAGAAGAATTTGGATCCCTCTGTATACCAGACACTTCAGGATCACAGAATAGAAGATTTAAACATGGACTTAATCTTTGAAGTTATTAAATACATATGTCGTGGGCCACCAGGTGCCATATTAGTATTTCTTCCTGGTATTGGAGAAATAACAAAACTATTAAAAATCATACATGAGAATGAATCATATCTTGGTTCAAAATGTGAAGTTCATGCGCTCCATTCAAAACTACCAACATTAGAACAAAATAAGATTTTTGAAAGCCCTCCTAGTCATATAAGAAAAATTATAGTAGCTACTAATATAGCAGAAACATCGATAACAATAGATGATATTGTCTATGTCATTGATTGTGGTAAAATAAAATATAACGGATTAAATGTCGAACAGAATTTTACGACTTTGAAAACTGAATGGGTATTGCAAGCAAATTTGCGACAAAGGTAGCTATTACACTATTTACAATATCATTATAGTAATATCTCCTTGAACTCTTAAATAAAAAACAAAACTGATTTGTTTAGAATACTAAAAAATGTATTCTATTTTTTCCTTTTTCGTTCATGTATGTAATTTTATTAATTAAAATTGAATAGACGGGGCCGTGCCGGTCGATGCCAGCCTGGCGTGTGCTATCATTTGGTGACGACATACCGAGCTGGAGTCCTCGAAGAACGATTATTGCCTGAATTGCAGAGAAGCAATTTGTTGGAACCTGTCCTAACAATAAAAAGGTTAAGACTGGGCAAAGCGGCAGATGCCTTTAAGAATGTCCCAGATTCACCTTCAGAAACTACCGTTGAACGAGCGGTTACACATCTACAGCAGTAAGCTACTATAATTATTTTACATTAAATATCACTTACCCTAAAAATATAAATTGCTAATCTATCAACTTTATAGCGCGATTTTAGCATTGAGCATTTTCAACCGGCGTCTACGATATCGTTGTCGTACGATATCGGTATGTGACAGGATATAACTAACAGCTTGCTGGCAGTTAGTCAAATGTATCCGCGTGATTCTAATAGTGTAATAGAATATTCGAAGTAATGAATTTTTATATTTAATTATTGTGCTAGATGTGGGGCTTTAGATGACAATGAAACCTTAACTCCATTGGGATGGCATCTAGCGAGACTGCCTGTTCATCCGGCGGCAGGGAAACTGGTGTTATTTGGAGCTCTTTTTGGGTGTCTTGATCGGGCAGCGAGTGTTGCAGCTGTATGGAGTTTCAAGGATCCCTTTCTTCTAATCATCGGTGGGTACAATAACATTATTTATATATTTATAGGGCGAGAAATGATAAGAAGTACACCACGTAATTTATAATACATATAATATTCTTAGTGAAAATGCTTAAAAAATCCACTTTGTCTCTGATTCGCAATTCAGGCTACTGTTCTAACCACTGAACAACTAACACCTAACAGGAGTGACAAATTCTTCCACCACTTTCTGGTATTTTGCTGGTACATAGCGTATTTTCGTCAATATTCAGGCAACCCACCCAAATTGCCGAAAGAAATATTTTTACAAATATTTGAAACTTTCGATAAAGATAAAAAAATTTGTTATGAATATGCAAAATTGATAAAATATAATAACAGATAATAATTGTTGTAATAATGTTTCTGCACTCAAAAAAGTACTAATATTAGGTCCTTATGTATGAAATTGGTGTTTGGGAGGAACAAAAAGTCGAATATTTTTTAATATAATACTCGGTGGAACAGAACGACCGACACTCCCGAGGTTCCTGGAGAGTACTATTTGTCTTTAATATGATGTAAAAATAATTATAAGTTTTTTGGGGTCAATTTTCGCTTGAGGCAGAATTTGGCTGGCATGCCAGGATCCAACCATTGCGATGAGTGCTTCCGATTATCGTAGGGAATCCACTTTTCATCACAGCTAATGATTCGAATAAAATAACCTTCATTATTATGCCGGTTAAGTAATGTAACGCAGCAGTTTAAGCACGTTTACCGGTTTGCTTCACTCAATTCATGGGGAACCCACCTTTTAAGCTTTTTAATCTTTCCAATTTGCTTCAAGTGGATTAAAAAAGTTTTATCACTTACACCGCAACCTGCAGCTAATTCGGTCGTGGTTTGCGATGGATCCGCTTCCACAATAGCCTTCAATTCTTTATTATTGACTTGGGTCTCCGGCCGTCCACGGGGCTTGTTCTGCAGGTCGAAATTTCCAGAACGAAAAAGTTGGAACCAAAAACGTACTGTGTTTTCTTTTGCGACACAACTGCCATACACATCATTAACACTTCAAGCAATTTTCGCAGCACTGGTACCACTGTGGAACTCGTACTCGTAAATAACACGATATTTCAAATTTTTTCCATTTTTATACTGGGTGACGTAAATAGGACAAACGGAAGAAAAAAATACAAATTAATACCGCCTAACGAAACACAAATACATGTGTAAATGGCTGTATAAATTTGGATTTGGAGTTACCAACTAAGGAGGAGAAATTTGTGATTAAAGTGGCCAGTACAACAAAGCGCCAATTTCATATGTAAGGACCTAATATTAATCCTTTTGGGCCGCAATTTTTCAAAACACTAAATTGACACGACGTAATGAAAACATTACAATTTTCACCTCATGAAATAATTAATAAACGATGTATTACAGATACCCGATGTTTTCTATATAATCTTTGCATTTATGACGATTGAAGAACCTATAAGCAACTACCTTACGTGTTTAGGTTATTATCGGTGCTCGAGTCGGCGTACTATTCTATAATACTATGGTAACTAGTTCTCATAGTAACCGTATACACGTGGTCGAGAATCTTCAAATTCTTAATCTCACAGAGTGCAAATTTGTAATAGTGCTCTTAATTTTTTTTCTCTTGCTTCTGAGGATACATTTTATAGCTTCTTTAATCCAGTGCCCAACACAGATCCTATGTGGGATATCATCAACACCAGCCTATTAATGGCCCCACTGCTGGAGCTCAGACTTCTTCTATGTATGGAATCGAATAGGGAAAATGGGCCATGAGCCACCACGCGGGCCCATTCCTACTGGAGGGTATTAACGACTGCAAATGCAGCCAGGACCAACGGCTTAGTGAAGCACAGAGGAGCTCGAGATAATACATTTTTGGTCACCCATCCTATGATCGGCCATTGCGACAGTTGCATAACAGTCATATCGCAGACCGAGCGCGCTAATCACTGCGCCATCGAGCTCCGGGAAATGCAGTTATATATTATACATTTATAAAAACTGTTGGTAGTGAATAATACTTGTAAATTATGATGTTTATGAGAGTATTATTACTTAATATTTCAGCCATAACAATACTGAATTAATCATTTTTCTCTAGACAAAGAAGATGAAGTAAAAGCTGTCAAACGTCGACTAGCGCTAGGCGAGCCAAGCGATCACATCGCTGTATCAGAGGCTCTAATCCAATGGGAACGATGCGCTCCTTATAAGAGACGAAATTACGCCTACCAGAATTTCCTATCTCACAACACTTTAGAATTATTGTCCGATATGAAGAACCAAATAGGAGATAATTTGAAGCAGATGGGTTTCTTAAGTTCTGGCAGGGTCACATCGGCGTGGGAGAATCGGAATACAGACAACTTGAGTTTGTTCAAAGCTATCATTGCTGCATCATTGTACCCTAATATTGCTACCGCAAGGTATTATTTTGCTATTACATTATTCTTTTATTGTTTATGTCACAGTTAATCATAAAACGTGCTCTAAATTGGGAGGAGGGGAAGTAGGGGCTCTTGATTAGGGACTCGATTAACATTGGCGAGTGTTAGGTGGACGCCAAAATCATCATAATATACTAATACCAACTTAAAAAAATAACGAGTTTTACAAATCTATTCATACACATCATGCGCTACTAAGAGACGGATATGTTTCGAAATCTTTAATTAAAATAAAAGGAAACATATGCTGCAAATATATGGTAAGTAAAATAAAATCCGGCCTTAAGGAGTATAATGGAAGGGGGGTGTAGAGGGCGCCATACGATGTTTCTGCCCTGATAAAAAAAAATTGTAAATCCCAGCCTACTGCATAATTTGGGTATTCTACACAATAACTAATAACTTGTAGAGATTCTACGTATTGTTCTTTAATATAGAACAATTATTAGCGGATGTATTGGGATGGATCGCAAGAATCTTTAAAATACGCTGTGTGCCAACTGATTTTACCACTGATTCATAATGATTATAGTCTTCACGAAATAAGAGGCCCCTTTTGACACATGTCAAAAGTCCAGTGATAATCTAAAAAAATATTTAAGTCCATAGCAAAGCGATTACCTAGATATTGTGTAGAATACCACATTATACAGATTTCCGGTAACATATACATCAATTTCCGGTAACATATACATCAATTTCCGGTAACATATACATCAGGGGCGTAGATTTATCCGTATCAATGACACGGGACCCCTGGGCTACAGGAGCCCCTAACGTAAATAAACATATTTTTTAGGCTCCATTTGCCCCCTCCCAACAAATTTAATAAAGAGCCCCAACTAAGACACGCTACGCCACTGACATACATACACTATAAAGCAATAGGAATTGTAACAAAATTATCGTTAAACCAACGTTTGAGCCAACTATGCAGTAAATATTACGTTTATATTGTAAATTTGTCATCATTTTTCTAGATGGACACGCTTCAATGCGCGGAATCCAAACAAACCAGTTAGAGTGAAAGTAAAAACACCAGAAGGCAATGTAACTATCCACCCCAGTAGTATGATGAGCCCTCCAAAGAAAAACCCAGTGAAACCGTGTACAAACATGGGCGCGAATTGGTTGGTGTATTGGCTCAAGCAGAAATCGTCTGATCTTTTCGTTATAGACGTCACTCTGGTGTATACACTGCCGTTGCTGTTCTTCGGGGAGTTGAAAGTGTTTGACAGTAAGTTTTATTAAGTAGTAGTACTGTCAAGTAGTTTCAGTTTGAGTTAACTAAATTGTGAGATTTTTTTTTTAAGATTATTATTGATTTCGTTAATTTGATCACTGTTTTTAGATGAGGAAGACCCATTGTTTTGTAATATATCAATATCGTCGTACAAGGTCAATGTATTAAAGGAGTCAGCAGAGTTACTCCTTGAACTACGTAATTTATTAGACCAAGTATTGGCATCAAAGATAATGGTATCCAGCACACATTCAATAAAACACTCTGAATTTGAAGAAAATGTTTTAAAGTAAGTTTTATCATGATATTCTGAGAGCAAACTGTCTTTGACTCTATTGAGAATATATGGGTCTTTATGGCACAGAATAGAGATTATGCGTCTGATTAAAGAAACGTTATTTCAAAAAATGCGGTAAATTCGAAATACTCAAACGCAATACTATTTGTCAGAGCCGATGTGACGACACTTATAATAATGTCGATATTACAAAAAGTTAATATCGATCAATAACATCAATGTATTATGTCACAAAGCAAAGAGCCGATTATAGTTTAAAATTATGTTTTAGGCTTTTTTATTTCACCAATTTCTTAAACTGTATGTTTATTAAAAATGTTGTTAATATTTTTAAATGTCGATTAGTTGATATTCGATTTCAGTAATTGAATAATAATAATCGATTACTCAAAACCCATATTGATTTAAAATGTCATATCTTTAGTCCTTTACTTTGACTTCCACAACAAGTGTACCAAAAATTCCGGCGTTTAAGTGCTCGTAGTAGTTACATACTCATTTTCATCATTTATTTTTCCAACTAAATAGTTTTCAGTGCCAGGTATTATTGTACAGTTATATAACGATTTAATTGTCATTTTAAAATATCAAACATGTGCAAGGTCCCTATTAATGTTTATTGTTAGCTTAGCTTTAGATTATCTAAGCCGAGTTTACAAAATTATCAACACACAGCGTAGCGGAAGGACTTTTAACTACTGTTTCTATTTTAAGGCACTTTCATTATTGGGAAGCAAAGCAATTTATAACGCAAATGTACTTTAGTAAAAACATGTGATTCAGTTGTGTAGGTCACGTGAAATTAAAAACGGGAAATTCACTAGACAGACATACCCGTGGTCAAGTCTGCAGATATCTTGAAAGTTTCAAGCCAGTTTCGCCATCACTTAAGTCCCGGGTTCAATTACCGGTCGGATCAACGTTGAAAATGGATTTTCTATATTGTCTCTGCACATGCAGCATGATAAACTCGAAAAACGCTTTGTCTACACCCAAATGTCACTTTCTCGGGTCGAGAGTGAGATGTTGTATGAGCGCACCCGAGAAAAGTGACATTTGGGTGTAGACAAAGCGTTTTTCGAATTTATCATGCTACGCGTGTTGGTCTAAATGTTGTGGTACCTTCGTTGTCTCAGGTACTCCGAAATACGTGGGCATTAGGTACTCATCTTGGATTTTGAGCAATGTGTGTGATGTTGTCTAATATTTATTTATTTATTTATCTAAATACAGAACTTGCCAGCTGCCTCGTTATCGACAGCTTCTTAATGTCCCCACTACTGGGACACGTGTTTTCTATGGATAGATATGCCCGCCGGACATCGCTACTATAAATCTTATGATTGCTAGTATACGACCGTCACAGATCTAGTAGAGACGCCAAGAAACTTTTATAAATAATAACATAATCGTGTTTGTTGCAGTGCTGTGATAGCAGTCATAACTGCAGAAGATGAACGCGCCGAATATGTAGATGACACGGAGTCGGATAAATCTGAATGTGAATCGACATCTCATCGATAATACAAATGATACTCAATTTAAATGTGTAATTTTTTTTATCAATCTTGAGTTACTATTGTATTATGTAATTATTATAATAGTAACAAAATAAAATTTCGCATGACAACCCTAATATGACATTGGTGAATAATAAATTGTTGTTAATCATTCATGTAAAAAAAAAACTAAAAAAATTAAACGTTAATAGGTGTCTAACATAAAACTGGTTTTTTAGTAACTTTAAATATAAAATGCTTTCGTTATTACAGGTAAGTCCGAGATATAAATAATATTCCAATAATATATTATTACCGTCAGATATAACTATCAATTTATCTGTCTTTCGCGAAAGACAGATAAACTGGATAGTAATACTTATGTTAACTATTAACTAGTTATAAAAATACGCATAGTTCCTTATCTAAAATTAATAATAGATACATAACTCTGATTATATCAAACATAACCTAAAAATATCTTCCAATAATATAATAAAACCTCTGTTGTTGTTTTATTCATAAAAGGTACCTTTTTTTTTACAGAAAAAATGTTCTCGACCTTTATTAGTTCTATGTCGTCACCTGCATACGGAATACATTGCATTGAAGGAAAATAATGGCACTCGAGAAATTATTTTAAGCCATGAAAAAACTAAGTAAGAATTAAAAGGTCTTATGAAGGTCTATGAAAATAGTGCACAAGCAATCGTCGTTAGTTTTTTTTAGACTTTAAACATTATTTCTTAGCTAATAATGCTACAAAATTAAACAAATGTTCTATTTTCGTAGTAGGTTTTCACTCTCTCTAATGTTGTATCTCATATTATCATCGCGTCGTCGGCTCATTTTGCGATCTTGTTAGTTTTATACATCCCCTTAAATTTAAGTCGGCAGGAGATTATCACAAATCGAACCGTTGTGCCCACTGTTATTACGTTTTACTTGGCGGTGCGGCCAATCACACATACACTCCATACACTACAAATTACGTACATAGTTGATCACATATTGTGATCAGCTTTCCACAATAGGTCAAATTTCTGCAAGTGATTTTGTACTCTACATTCACTATATTAAGTTTTAAAATCAAGTGGAGAACTTGATTGAACAATTTGCTGTTGACTGAGCATATATTGTGGTAATTCAAAAAGTAGGTATTAACAGAATACAGAACAGTAGGTAATAATGATTACAGAATTTTTAACAGTTCCTTTTATTAACTGTGTCACTTTAAATCCACGCTATTAGATGTCAAAGTAAATAATAATATTCTAAATTTAACAATCTACAAATTAAGACTTAGAATCGATTGGAGAAATTTAGCATTTTGTAGTAAGCTGATATGCTGTCAACTACACTTATTAACAAATAACCTGTACAAATGTTTTAGAAACTCTCTGTCTTTGGATATGTTAAAATATCTCACTGAAGCCATTAACAACAATAAAGACGACACGTCTTTAAGAGCCATAGTTTTATCTGCTAAAGGCAATGTATTCTCCGCTGGACATAATTTGAAAGAGTTTGTGAGTATTTTAATATTTACTTTAGGTGATTTTTTTAGTGTCAAAAATATATTTTCTTTTTCAGTAATGCTTTTTGTTTTCAATTTTTAGCAATCAAGCGGCGACATATCTCATCACAAGTTGGTATTTGAAAAATGTACTGAATTAATGAAATCTATAGTGCAGAGTCCAGTCCCTGTTATTGCTAAGGTATATAATGAAATTATAAAATGGATAAAACAAAAAGGTTTCTTAATAAAGGTGATATTTTGCAGGTGAATGGTTTGGCAACAGCTGCTGGATGTCAGCTAGTTGCCACATGTGATATGATAGTATGCTCCGACGCAAGTAAATTCTCTACACCTGGGTAAATAAAACCTATCTCATATCAAATTATTAATGATAATTGACAACACTAAACAGCAGGATGTTGTCTAAATTGAAAAAATAAATACATATCTACAAGTTAGTACAGGCCTATTTAATTAATAGAATCTGATAGAAATCATAAAAATTTACAGAGTATCATTTTCTTGTTATGTAGAGCTAATTTTGGAATCTTCTGCTCAACGCCAGGAATAGCCGTGGCACGATCAGTTCCGAAATCGAGAGCTACATACATGTTATTCACCGGTGAGATTTACCTATTCCATGATCCAGTTAACTCACAATAAAGCATTGAAATTTCAAGTTTATATCCTGTTACTTATGGTGGAATTCTGAAAGCTTCGATTTTGTAATTTGTTGTAGTTTGGTTTTCAGCACATATTTTTCAGTAGTGTCACAAACATATTATAATACCATACAAATTATTAATGATACTGAAAATTAAGTTAATCTCTACTTAGTAATGTTTTTAAATAATTTGCATCTAAATATGTATATGTAAACGCTCAGAGATTTATTGCTTAATTTCTAGGTGAACCTATCAATGCTCAAGAAGCTTACGAAAATGGGTTGGTGACTAAAGTAGTTCCAGTAGAACAACTTGATCAAGAGGTGGAAAAGATCATTGATAAGATCAAATTGAAAAGCCGTAGCGTGATAGCATTAGGAAAACAATTTTTTTACAAACAAATTGAATTAGGATTGCTTGAAGCATATCAAGTAGGGGAAGACGTAATGGTTCATAACATACAAAGTAATGACGGCCAAGAAGGAATAAAAAGTTTTGTAGAAAAAAGAAAAGCTGAGTGGAGCCATAAAACCATGTAATTTATAAACCAAATTTTTGAACATATTCTGCAAAAATATATAATGTATAACTAAAGATTATTATATAAGGGTAAATAAAAAAGTTCTCTATTACTCCTATCATTTATTTATTATAAACCTTATTGCATCTCACAAGCATGAACTAAAAGCATCAAACATGCGAGTCACATTATGATATTAAAATATTTTTGGCTGATAGGATTTATATATTATATATACACCGATTGTTACAATACTAAGATAATGTTTGTAATTTTTTTAAAGGCAATGCCATATGACCAATTTTATAAATATACTTTAACTTAAAGAAAAGGACCACAATCATCAAACTAGATACTAAATAATAATTGTACATATTAAATGTAACAATTTAAAGATAAATATAAGCTGTTGAACAAACTATTATTGTCATTTACACAGACATACTGATCATTTCATTAGTTTTAGTGTGGAGATTATTTGTTGTGCTTAAAAAATTGAAAAATTCACAAAGTTAAAAGATGCATATAGTTAAATAAACCATTGTTATACTAACTTGCAAACATTTTATAATATAGACTAACAATAGGATTAGTGATGTAGCTAGCACAGATGTTGCCTGGGATGATAATTGTCATCCAATGAATGAAAATAAATTAATGAACTGCAAATCATTTGACTAATATTGATAGAGAATGTTATTGCAATTTTCGTAAGTTATTTTTTTCTTGCTTCATCTGCCTCACTCAGTCTAGCTACGTCATTTAATTGAATGAAAGCCCCTTAGAAATGCACATCACAAAAATTACATCTCTTAATAATCATAAAAAAAAGACCTAAATAATTAAACAGGTTTCCATATCATAATATGATAAATACCATATAAATAATAGGTTTGAAAGTGATTGAATTATACCTCAGACCCTGTCCAGAAGCAGGAAAGCATTAAGTTTATCAACTACCACAGATGAGTAGCTATTCTTACCCTAATATTTTATATGCTTGTTGGTTAACAGCCAGTTGCACAAAACATCCATTAAAATTGCCATTAGTATAAAATGACATACACATTTGACATTCATTAGAGCTTAGAGATTGTCAAACCTTAATTGACATTTGTGCAACTGACTGTTTATGTTGCATATTTGTGCAATAAACAGATTTTCAAATTATAAGGCTTCTGGACAAGTTCTCAGAGAAACTATATTTACTTATTAGGAATTTTTTAGTCTTTTCAATTCAATAAAGATTATTTAAAATTCACATCATATTAGAATTTGTCAGTCAATGAGGGAATGTACATTTTCTTTCCCAATAACTGTTTGTTATGTTATGTCTCACTTCTTCGCTAATTCATTTGATAGCCAGTCTAGTCCCTCGTAGAGTCCTTGCCCTTGTGTTGCACATGTAGCTTGTATATACCACTGTAAAATAAAATATTTGCATTATCCCTCAGAAATTAAAAATCAATGTTTATATAAAAACAAATATTTCCTGTAAGTTTGCCTGCATAAATTATAGACTATCAGGTGCAAAATGATGAAGCTCCTATAGGCCATTTTTTTTAATCAATCAGGTAGTTTTAGAGTCATGCAAATAAATGTGTTCTCTTTTTAATATTAGTAAAGATTTGCAAGAAAACCATTTTGAGTAGAGAGAACAAGTTGTATGTTAAATTCTCTTGTAACTGTAATAAGAATTTAATATGGAATTACATAGACAAATCATTTTAAGATCTTTAAAGATGGTAAATGATTGTGCCCATCTTATAGAAGACACACCTATATCACCACAGATCTGTAAATATGTATTATGGTACAATCAATTAATAGAGTTTGTAAATCTAGCATCAAACTACAGTACCATTTACTAATACTTACACGACGATTCCTTAGGTTATTTAAATTAAGAGCGTTTGTTAGTTCAGCTGCTGTCATGGCATTGGGCATGTCTTGTTTATTTGCGAACACTAAAATTACAGCATCTCTTAATTCATCTTCTTTCAGCTGAAATCAAAAGGCAGTTTAGTATATTGAATGTAAGGAATTATAGCACTTCTACAATTTATAGTGTTACTTACCATATTTGCGAGTTCATTTTCAGCTTCTGCTATTCTTTTAGTATCACTAGAATCCACAACAAAGATAAGTCCTTGGGTATTCTGATAGTAATGACGCCACAACGGTCTGATTTTATCCTGACCACCGACGTCCCATACGGTAAAGCTTATATTTTTGTACTCAACTGTCTCCACATTAAAACCGATTGTTGGAATAGTAGTGACTATTTCACCCAATTTTAACTTGTAGAGTATCGTTGTTTTGCCAGCAGCATCAAGACCGACTACAAAAACAAATTATTGAAATCATTGAAAATAATTAAAGTTAGGATTTCTTTGTACTTTCAATGGGCTTTTATGAAGAAATTTTAAACAATGTGCAAAGCACCGATGAGCTGTCATGTCACTTACCCATAAGGATACGCATCTGTTTTTTACCGAACAGTTTTGTGAAAACACTAGATATTGTTAAACCCATTATTAATTATGTTGTGCACTCTTATAGCGGTTAATTTAAAACAATAATTATAAAAAATTTAGACCAATACTCCCGAAATAAGCGTTTGAATCACTTTAATACGTCGACGTATCTTATCAACCAACACCCGTTTTTTTACGTTAGGCAAGGCTGTCATTAGAGTAGCGATGCGACTTGAGTCCTGCTTTTACTCGAGTCCCTCAAGTGAATTTTCATTTATTTAGTAGAATAAATGTTCTATTATATTACGTAGCTAAAACAAATATTAATAAAAGGTATGCATTACTTACAAATAACTATTTGTCTCTTTTTAACCAATAACCAATAATAGCTTATAAAAAGAGGGATGTTTATTATTTCTTCAGTTCATATCTTGTCAACATTTTGGTGTGACGTCCGAGGTATTTGCGTCATGGCGGAAGGACATGTTTAGCGCTGGGGTTCTAAAGTAGATCAGCTGTCATACGATTCCCCGTAGGTCTTTTTTCTTTGGTAACAAAAAAAAGATCTACCTAAATTAAAATATGAGAAATATATTAAAACTAAATATTTCTAGTTTTATACTTAGTCAGTATGAAATATAAAGGAACACAGTACATGTGTAATGTTCAATATAATTAGATGAATTCTATTACCCAAACACCATGTACTTTGTTAACCAAATAAATAATTTTGTCTCCAGATATACATAATCTGGCAATCCTGTTTACATCACTTTTTCGCCACAGACCGCTTATAAATATTTAACATACGTCAGTTTATAGTGATGCTCAATTCGATAATCGATCATAGACAATATAGATAATAATAAAAACCGGCAACAGACAGGGTCAATATAACGAATGGTAACTTAAACAATTTATAATCTGTGACAAAAAACAACTTTTGTTGACAGCCAATGAGAATCTCATTAGAGTTTGCTGTCATGCGTCGTCATAGAAACGCTTTATTTTAGAAAACTTTTCATTTTTTGGGCGGAATCGACATGGACATAAAAGAAGGTAAGTTTATTTATTATCATTTAATGATTTTAACATTCTTCATCGGTCTGTAGTTCCTATTGATTTCGTTTCTGCAAAATTAGCAGCTAAGATTTAAACAGGTTCGCTCTTCGCGATGTGAAGGTCCTTTTTAGGGATCCTATGTGAATGGTCTACCTGCATTATAATTGTGAATAGGTAACAGTTCTTAACAAAGAGTTAAATAGTTTGTTTTGCCTACATATTAGACTTCATTGCAAGAAATCCAATCTTACAATATTTATTTTTTATTTAGTAATTTCGTTCTTTTGATAATAATCGCAACTTGTTCGAAATCATTACATTATTTTTTCTACTTTTCCGTAAGTACCTATTAATTATTAAATAATTACCTATCTAAAGATGTCAATTTTCAATTCAATATTTTACTGTAATAGAAATATCATGTTGTACCATTTACATGTGTTTAAATACAGTTTAACTTACTACGCGCTTACCGAAGGCTAACTTTCATTGTTTAATTAACATTTTAATGAAAATGTTAAATAGGCACCGGGTTCTTGCATACGCATACTGTTTCCAAGTTAAGAATTATGTCAATGCCAAATAAATAAAGTACACGCTTAAACTATAACTATAGCTAACAGGGGACAATCAATGGCACAAATATTATAACACTAGCTCTGATACAGAATAGTGCAAAATTCTATTCCTGCAAATAAAAGCACCAATTTTGGCTACAGCTCGCTGTCTGTCTGTAGTTAGTTCACTATCAACCTAAGGCCTCAAAACAAATATAATGATTCTTGCTCGGCGATTTTTTATCGCGCTTATTTCTATGGGTTGTAAATATATGCAATGGCGCGCAATAGGCTAGCATTACGTCATGGCGTCTCGACAATATTAGTAGAGGTACTTAGAATGTTTAGCGAGTTTTAGAAGAATTACTGATACACGGTTAAGAATGAGGCTTTAATGATTTTGATGGCACAAAATACTAAACTGTTAATATTTCGGTATACCTACCTTATTACTGAAGGATCATCTGACGCCACTCGTGTGTAATTCGATTCCCATAGACCTTATTTGCAGTTGTCATTATGTAAATAAAAATTTAGGCCACCTTAGTTTTGCACTTCTTCTATATATTACAAACAGTTATTACTTACGCAGGATGCATGTACTTTTACGTAGTAGGATGCGAAAATTGCAAACATAATACATTATCTTACATTAAAAATATATAATCCAGTCTAGATGAGTGCGATTATTACCTATCACTGAAAATTTTGAATAGAAATAAGCTTGATTTGAAAAATACATGGTCGCCGAAGATATGTATAATAAACTAGGTTGAAATTTAAACCAGTTTGTTACTAATTGTCAAATACTTTAATAATAAAAACTTGACTTTAAAAACAAACATATTTTTAAAGATGTTTACGCATAAAATAACTGTTTCTGTAAGTGTTCCGTGCAAAATGAATGAAAATTTTTCAAAATACGTATCCGAAAAACTTTGGGGCAACAGTAGGTATTTCTTACCTATTTCAAACAAAGAACTCAGACCCGGTTTATATTCTCAATTCAGAATATAAAGTCAAGCACGTCTCAAACGCTTTTTGTTTCTCATTTTATTTTCTTTAATGATCAGTTGATAGCACTTTGATGAAATTTGACTTTTTGACTTGTGACACGTAAAAAAATTTAGTTATTGATAAAAATCAGTTGAGATTTTGTATTTTTCTCAATTCAGAAACCGTTAAACAATCATTTCATTAAGAGGGCACGTACTCTTGAGCATCACTAACTTTCAACTGGATTTGCACAAAAGAACAACGTCCAATTAAACTGCTTAATGCAGTGGCGTAGCTAGGTAACCTAGGGCCCTGGGGCAAATAAAAAAATGGGGCCCACTGCTATCAAAACTGGTAAGGTTTTTTGAAGTAAAATCATTAAATATACAAATACTTTAAAAATGCTAAGCAACTTTATCGACAGCTCTTTTTCGTGCATGGACCAGGTCATAAAACTATTAAACAATAACAACATAAATTACAATTATTTTTTTACTTGGTGTAGGTATTGGGAAATAAAACGAAATAGAAAAGATTCAAGGGTTTATTATATATTTATTTATTCAAAGATACGTTGCACCAGCTTACTGTTATTTAGCCTATCGCCATGCAAACTATTTATAAAAATTATCAATAGAAATATTTTGTCCAGAATAACTTGCAGAAGGCTGACTAAAAGAACTTGTCAATTTTGGCCAATTTTTGTGTACTTTCTTCTCTTTCTTGGCGTTGTTTGCGTTTAAATGCACCACTGGATTTCTTTTTTTTTTTTTGCCCGTAACATTAGTTTTCTAATTTATTTTTGCAATATTTATGTAAGATTGTACTCAAGTAGGTACTCACTGTTCACTGACAACGTTGCAAGTAAAAGGAAAGCGAAACGTAATGATACGATACAAGACGTCGTTGGGGAATCCCCGGCAAACATTTTATCGCCGCCAGTGTTACCACATTTGACGGTTTAAAAAAATGACAAAAAAACATCACATAATTAATGGACGGCCCCTTACCCCATGTGACTTGTATTTTGAGTTATATAGTGAGTAGCCGAAATCTATAGATTTCTTTACGTAACTATGTATATGTACTATTGATAATCAAATAAAATTGAACTTTTGTATGGACCAGTACAAGAAATGTATTGACATACGCTTACTTACTCCTGATAAATTAACTTTTTAACCATTCTCGAAAAAAATCTTGACCCGAAGTTCACAATCGCGAATCATAAAAACGCATATTGATAAATAATAATATGCAAAACATTAATAACACTGTCAACCCACACAAATAATTTAGGGGAATTCCCTTTTTATAACTTTGGATTTTCTTTGAACAACTTGAGTTGTCATGATTAAACTAGTGTTGTCACCTGTCATATTTATTTTGAAAAAGGGAGAAGTTTTCAAAAGTTAATTTCGATTGAGATTTTCTGGTAAAGATTCGAGGGCCCCCTAAGCTTGAGGGCCCCGGGGCACTGCCCCGCCTAGCCCCTTGGTAGCTACGCCACTGGCTTAATGAAAACTAAATCATTTTTCTAAGGGTTCTATTACATACAGCCAAAACTAAATCAAATTGAAATAACGATCGGGGTGTTGTGTTGTGAAAATAAAAAGTTCATTTTCTTCATCTGTCCGACCGGGAGTCGAACCGAAAGAAGAACCGAATCGAAGGAAGACGCATATGATAGAAGCCAAAAATTTTAGATTATAGTTCTTCTAATTTGAAGATCATATATAATGAGCCCTTTAATTTGCCATTGATACAATATTTTTATTTTATAATTTAGCCGCCAAAAGAGGCCTAATTTGCAACGGCAACCGTATTTAGATCACTAACTTTACACGTATACTTAGAAAATCAGCTGTAAGATACAGACAACAGATTGATTCTAAAAGAGTTCCATTTTTATCTGATCCCGTATTGTAAATGGAACTTATATGCCGCTATAGTCTTTTTTAAAAATATGGACTGTAGGCTGGATTATCAACAGGTAGGTAGCAGAGGTCGCAAATAAAACGCTTGGTTCGGAGAAAACACGGAGAACATTCAGTGGCAGAACATGCTTTATTGCAAAAACCCGATCACTTAAGTACATTTTGTTTGCTCGCACTTAGCTCATATATTAGTCAGTTATCTTATAAGATTTTGCAGAGTGGGGGTATGCTACCCCGCACCGCGCGGGGAGGGGAAGGTTTCGCTGTGGTCCCGCTGGTGGCGCTGCTGTTGAAACGCGGCTCGATGTCCTTTACAGCTCTCCCCCCGGCGTAGCCTCGGCGCAGCCCTCGCTTCTCGGAAGGACAACGAGTTTTCTTGTAGGGCGTCGAAACACTCCTCCCTTCGTGCGGACGTCGGCGCTCCGTGTGTGGCCGTCGGGTCCCGGGTAGGTTGCCACGATGATACCGCGTGGCCATGTGTTACGCGGCAGTGTTGAGTCGACGACGATGACTAGATCTCCCGGCTGCGGCTGCGGTTCCCCTGGTGCGGCTGTGGCTTGGCGTGGTACGAGTGTAGGCAGATATTCTCGCACCCATCTTCTCCAAAATTCGTCGGCGAGGCCCTGGCTGGCTCGCCAGGT